TGAAGAAAAATGCACTAGCTCTCAGAGCAGTGGTTCTCAACCTGTGTGTCGCGACCTCTTTGGGGGTCGAACGACCCTTTCACAGGGGTTGTCTAAGACCATTGGAAAACACATATATAATTACATATTGTTTTTGTGATTAATCACTATGCTTTAATTATGTTCAATTTGTAACAATGAAAATACATCCTGCATATCAGATATTTACATTATGATTCATAACAGTAGCAAAATTACAGTTATGAAGTAGCAACAAAAATAATTTTATGGTTGGGGGTCACCACAACATGAAGAACTGTATTAAAGGGTCACGGCATTAGGAAGGTTGAGAACCACTGTCTTAGAGGATCTGCTTTACTTTCATTGGCCAAAGCAAGTGGTGTAGCTAAGGTGATGTCAATGGGATGGGAAACTATAATCTACCATCAGGGAGAGGCAGCCAGTAATTTATATACAATGCAGTCTACCACAACCCTTTTGCCTAATTTAGATGACCTAGCTAGTCTCCACAGACATTTGAGAGAATGACTACTTTAGCCTAGGGAACTTGAGAGTTCAAAGTTTTATTATAGTTAAAAGCATGAGAATTACTCTAAAGCTTACTGTACTACAGTTGTCCCCACTATATCCATCTATCCATGTAAGCATCTGTCTATATGTCTATCTCTCTATCAGCCTTGAATCGGTTAAGGTTTTCGCAGGCTTTTCCTTAGATACCCTTTACTTGCTTTAGGCTCTACCCAAGCAAGGCACATTGACATGATGGCAGGTTAGCAAGCCAGGCTCTCATGAGGCAGCTCTAGGTCTGCTCCTTTCTGCACTCGAGCACTGCCGTCCACGGGTAGGTTGTGCGCCCAAACTGAGCCATCAGTGTGTCCTACAGCATAGCTGGAGTCTGGTAAAACTTAACCATAGAGAACAAGTAAATGATTAGCATGTGAAGCTGAATGTTGATTACACCCTCTGTGCACCCAGCTCTCCTCTTGGGACTGTGGAAAGCACAAGATATCCAGACAAACCATTAAGGATGTGGATTTGAATGCTGAATCATGGGGCACTCACTTAGTTTGCATGAGTTGCCAGTGTGGGTTGGTGTCAGCAGGATGGACTCTGAAGAGTTCAGGATTGTGAAGGACTGGATATAAAGTAAAGAACATTGAGTATGAGTTCAAAGTTTCAACTGGTTCCATCTAAATCTGGAGTTTTTGGAAGCAAGATGGGCTTGCAGAGTTGTTTAAATACCTTTGAAATGTTTCAGAAGTTTTCTACCAAAATTGATGTTTTTGTCAGGCCTTGAGTCTCACTTAATTGTGAATGTGCAATGGCTCCACTCAGCAGAGCTGGCTTTTCCCTTTCCCAGGAGCTTTCAACTTCACACAGAGGCTGTTTGTGTTCTTCTCACTTGGAAGATAGTGGGCAGGAAAGGGATGTATTCTGTACCTGGGAGAGCATCTGAAAAGTGGCAGGCATTCAACACGTGTTGAATGAGATGGGTGGATGGATGGGTTTGGAAAAACCACATGATCTACCTTTCTCTTCTCACTCCCTTCTTTATTCCATCTTCTGCTTGGCACTGAGGATAAAAATAAGGTAGATGTTTTGCTTGCCATAAAAAGAACTCAAGCACGAACACATCTTTTTGCTGCCTTCTCCTTCTCCCAATCCAATCAAACAGAGACTGGGAATAGAAATGAATAAAGTAGATTGTGTTTTGGAGGCAAGAGGAAAAGGAGGGACAATGGTGAAAACTGGGAATAGAAATGAATAGATTGGGTTTTGGAGGCAAGAGGAAAAGGAGGGACAATGGTGAACAAGAAAACATATGCTTGTCCAAACATGGCAGGTGTACTTTTGCTCCAAGTAGTTGTTATCATAAGGGATCTCAGAAACAACATTGTCACTTCCTTAGATTTTAAAGAGAATTCAAATTTCTTTTTTTTTAAATCTAAAATCTCCTGATTAAAAAAAAATGTTGGCCATCTTTTTTCAAATTCTGTTTGGTCTAAGCAAAACACCTCTGCAGGCAGTATGCACCTCACGATTCCTAGGATGTAATTTCTGTACCTTCCTGTCTTTAACCAACCCAGCAAACACTGGCAACACTGAGGTGGGATTGTTGAGGTAGGCAGAGTTTTAAAAACTTTGGATACCATGTCTGAAAGAGAGGAGACGAATCTGACTCATTCATAGAGATTAGGGATCATGGCAAGGTCTCCACACTCTTGCCTGGTTTCTCCATGGCCAGTCAGTGATGATGACGAGGACAGTAGCCCATCACTATGCCTGATTCAGCAGCATGACTGGTGTGCTGTTTGCTGGTGTGGTATTGGATATCCATGCCCAATTATTTAAGACTTTGTGGCTAATAAGGGATTGTGCAGCTGGAAAGGGCTAGTGGAAGATGGTAACAGACACAAGTTCTCAGTGAATGAAGTTATTAGACTCAAAAGCTGTGCTTTCCTTTAATTTCCAACCTGCTTGAGCCTGTAAAGAAAATGGTGCGCAAGACGGTGCACAGAATAACATTTCCCATTTACTGTTCTTTGCCCTATGATGTTTGACTCATTCATGTACTCAAATACTTATTGAGCACCTACTGTGGATGCAGCAGAACAAAGTCCCTGCTCTCAGGGAGCACAGTCTAGTAGTCTGAGGACCTGGTAGTGTGCCTCAGATGCAGGAAGCCTGTAAGTCCTCAATCCTTCCCAGCTCTCAGAATTATGCCATTGCTTGAGTTAGATTTCAGAAGAGAAGTGGATGATGTTGAGGGAAAGTAGGCAGGGAGCTCACTTATTTTTCTGAGATACGGACAGGGCGTTTTAAGGTAGTCCTGGAGAAAAAGACCTGACAGTTCCCTTCTTGTTTCTGGTGTACCTTTCATGGCCTAGTGCTTCTTCCCACCGCCTTTATAATCCTCTCAGCATGTTCAGCTGTGCTTTGCTTTGGAACTCCTTTGAGGAATTAGGAGTCTCAGGATGTCCTGTTGGAAGTGCAACCCTTGGGGTATTTATTCCTTATGCAGAAAGCACCAAGGAATGAAGGGTAAAATTTCTTTACTGCAGGATCACCTAGTCGTGCATTTTACTCGTGGCTGTCGGTCATTGAGTGTGGCAGATATAATGGTAAATTTCATTTTGGTCTATTTTGAATGGTCTGCATTTAATTGTTAAAGAACCAAAGGCTATAGGACCTACTACTAAGGATGTTAGTCAGAATCCATTCTGTTATTCATTTATTTTGTATTGGTGCATGGTTAGCTAGGTAACCACGTAAATTAATTATGCCACTGTCTTTTCTTTCTTTCTTTCTTTCTTTTTTGGTCTCTGTTACTAAAAGAACTCTTGTAAAGTCTGGTTCAAATCTCAATGTTAGACATGTTTATTTCTGGACTATTTGATCATAAATTCATGAGCAAGGAGCAGTGCCATATGACTAGGAAATTACACACCTTTTAAAATGCCAGAATCAAGAACACCAAGACTCACTCAGGAAGTTAGCTTTTGGATCAGTGGCTTCTTCAGAGAATTATCACCTCGGCCATTTATATTTCTGAGCTTCTCACATATCCCTGCTGTGACCTGATGCTCATAAAGACAAGCAAACAACTTTTTTTATTTGCCCTGGAGAAAAACCTGTCTTGATGGAACCCAGGAGAATACCAAATGAACATGTTGGAATACCAGGACACTGTGGTAGTTTTTATTAATAGAGGAAAGAAGCCAGCTGCTTATGTGTTCAGTGAAGTAGGTCCCTCATAGGAATGGTAGAATAACCCTGCACAGTATATTGCCATAACTTGGCAATTTAATAGTGATAATACATTTTAATTGAACAAACTCGGGAATTTGGTAAGAATATAAAATTGAAAACCAGCAAATATCAGGAATCTTATCATCAAATTTTTTTTCCCTCAATTGAGGAAAAAGCTTAAATTTTATAAGCCAGCAGGTCAAAGACAGTATTAGGAATATATAACATATGCTCCCAATTCAATCCATGCATACACATATATACATATACACAGATGCAAATAAAATCTTGATCATCCTATTTTGGCTACTTCTCTAATTAAATTTATGAACTTTTGCTTGACCTTAAGTTTAGCTCATCAGATAGTCCTGAAGTCAAGTTTTCAGGTATATACACATAACACCCATTTAATACCCAGACAAGCACACTTCAAGCTTCTAGTTCAGAATAAACACCTTTCTGTCAAGGACTGTGCCTCCACAATTCATAACTCTTATATGGGAAGTTAGGACACCTGGATTCTGATCCTCGTTTAACAGAGAGGCTTTGGGGGCAAGTTTCTTTTAAAAACCTTTCCGCCTGGGTAGGTTGGGGTGGGGAGAATGTCATAGGATAATTTTGCTGCAGGGGGAGGGGCACATTCCATATTTGTCTCTCCTCCGTTCCACTGTTCTCTAAAAAATCAATGAAAAAATATCCTCTGGTGAGGATCAAAAAAAATAAATAAATAAAAATAAAGATAATGAGACAGACTGTGGTGCCTGGAGACCATACACCTGGCTGGAGAGGGCAACATGGCCCCAGAAGGTGCCAAATCTTTTCAAGAGAAGTTAGAAATCTGGTTACTGTGCAAAATTTCCTAACTTCTAAGCACTGACAATGATTGTCAATGGAAAAATCAAACAATTGCTTTATGGGTTAAAACAGCGGCAAGTGGAGTGGTTCATTCTGGACATGCCGGTTCTAGTAGCTCCAACTTCCCACTTTTGAGGGGTGGTGGTGGGACAGCCCAACCCAGATGTGGGCAAAGATCAATTGTCATTGATCTTTAATTCATGGCTCCTCTATGAAATGCTCCAAATTTTTGTAGATTGGGAGTTTGCAGGGCAGAACCGAATGTTAGGGGGACTATCTCCTTAGTAACCGCAGAGGCACCAATAGGATTGGTGAGGAGGATCGGTGCTGCCAAATGCTAAGGAGTTAGGCAATGATCTTCTGCCAGAGAACACAAGGACACGGTAGAGCACAGATAGGTGAAGAGTTTAACACAATTTATTTTATGCTTAAATAATCGACTAGGTCATCCAGTGTATGGTTTTTCATACATATGTCATTAGAGCTATGTGTCCATGAATGCTGATTTCATATGAATATAATCAACAAATTAAAGAATTTCACCAAAACCCAAATAAAAATGCCCTTTAAAACACTGCAGCCTTATTAACCTAGTATGACACTGCTAGAATGGTTACAAATGATTGGCTTACTGAAAGGTGTCTACATCTTATAGCCAGTACACGATACAGTGATAATTTTACAGCGTGCTGCCATTCTACTAGCTAAGGATTTCTGTTCAGTCCATTTTAAACACCCCTGACTGGGGCCTCTTATGAGCACCATCCACCTCTAAAGCGGCAAGCATTACCCCCCTTTTAAGCACTAACAGAGAGCACCCCCTCCCCCTAAAGCAACTACTGTATAGGTTTTTTTTTTCCATTTTTAGGTCATTTAATTGGAAAATTGGCAATAGCAACAAATATTAGATGAAGGGCTTTTTGTTTACAGATAAAATCTTCTGTGTTGCAGTATACGGTAGTGTTTGCAAAATTGGAAAAGATTTAATCAAAATAAGGTGATACACATGCATCAAAATATTAGTATTCTGAAGAAAATTTTTTTTCACAGAACTACAGAATTCCTCATTTTGGGAATTATTTAAATTTGCAGCAGATTTTAAAGATTTGCTTTTTTAAAATCAAGCTAGCAGTTTTGCATATACAAACATTATAATTGCTAATATACAAGAATCAGTAAAGGTCCCCCCCACCCAGAACCCCTCCCTCCTCTTCTAGGGTGAAGTCCCTTGAGACCTCTATGATGTTAAATGCATTTGCAATATTCTGTTTGTGTTCTAAGAGGCAGTGCCTTATCAACATTTATTCTATTTTTCTGTTAGAATTTATACACTGTTATTATTTACAGCAAAACTATAGATGTTTTAAAAAAGAAACAAATAGTGTTTATACCCTGACAGTTTGGGTCCAAGAAAAATAAGGCGAGCTGTTGTGGATTTAGTAATTTTAGTGTTTCTCTGTGATTTCATCAGTCCATCTCCTTCTGTTCCTTCTGGAGGCAGGAATTTCTTCCTTTTGTAAATGACACCAAGTCACTTGAGATAAACTGTTAACGGCATGGCTTCTTGTATATACACTGCATTGCTAATTGCACACGTGCCAATCCTGGGAATGAAAGTGAATTTCCATGCTCTGTAAGTTGGCTCATGCTAAATTAAAATGTGGGTGGTTTCCTTTTTCTCTTTTCTTTTTGTGTAAAAAAAAAAAAGAGTCATGCCATTAATGTGTGGAAGCAGCAAACACACACACACCCTTCTCCTCGAATCTTTACTTCCTGCTGACATGTCTTCCATGAATTTCTCAATACTGGCAGTAAAAACACATGATCCTGTGGAAAGACAGACAGTAAGTAGTGAGGTTAGCTTGCTTTCTTTTTTAAAAAAATAGAGAACTTGTCTAAGCCTTCCTTGCCTTTCAACAGAAAAGGCTCAGAGAATGGGGGTCCTGGGCCTCCTAATGGGGCGGGTTAGCATGAAACTTTGGACTCAGGCTATCTGCTAGATGCCTCAGGCTATCTGCTAGATGCCTGAGAGGACAAGGCCCTGAGGTGTGCCAGAAAGCTCTTTGAAGGCAATGACCTCCCCTTGCTGATCCTGTGACCTCATGCAACTTTGTTTGCTCTATTTGTGGTTTTAGAGATTGAGTCAGAAAGACTCTCTTCTAGGTCTTTGATGCGAGGGTCATTCACTCAGGCCCTTGGGGAAGCCCTGGGGGGCCTCTTGCTTATCTGTAAAATGAAGAGGCTGACAGGGGTGCTCTGAGATTTCCACCAACAGCAAATTAGCAGGGGCATGAGGTTTTCATGGGCACAAAGGCAACCAGTCTTTCAAAAAGGGAGGACAGTGTTATTGCTTCATTACTATGAAATTGTTTTTCCATATGCACATTAAAATGGAAGACTATCTTCAGCCATTGGAAAGAATACTTTCCCCTTTCCTGCCCCACATCAGTCATGACAGGATAAATTAATTTTGAGTTCTGGGTGTTTTTTTTAGGCTCCAGTAAGATTGTCTTGTCTTACTTGATAATACCTGCATAAAGTATCTATTTTATAGCCGCTCTGAATATGTCAACATAAATCAACATTCTTTGGCAAAGGTTTTCATACTTTGGTGCAGTATGTATTGTTCTTGGTATGAACTTTTTCTCCATAAAACAAAATTATTCCCACATCTAGTCCTTTGTCAGTGTGAAGGTGACAAACTTGAATGCCTGCCCAAGAACAAGACACAGCCCCTACAGAAAACTGAGAAAGGCAGGAACAACCCTGCTCACCAACATGTAAGCAGGTCTAGGATAACCTTTAGGATTATTTCTGTTAAGGCCCAAAAGTCTTCCCAGTGACCTTGATGTTGTTTACTTATCCTGGACAAGTTTCTTCCCCTTTAGATGGGTCACCCAGGATACCTTGGCTTATGTAAACATATTGGTACAGCACTTCCTTTGTCTGCTCTACTGCGGTTCAGGCTTCCTTTTTTGTACTAAAAGTGCTACCGACCTCCATGCCCCAGGTCATCGATGCTGAGAGCCAAGAACATCAAAGTATCAATTCCTTCTGGGGTGATTTCAACACCCGCCCCCTCCCATGGCTCTGAAGAAGCTCCAGGGAAGGAAAGTGACTCATTTGGACAGGCTCCATCCCAGAAGGTGTGCAAATCAGAGTAAGAAGATCAGGATTTTCTCACCTCTGTTTTTATATTATTCCTAATCTTCCAGGCACCAGGCTTCTTAGATGGTCCTATAGTGTTACCCTAGTGCTATCATGCTGTTTTCTTAGGGAGAATTTTCAGCAATTTTCTCTAATCAAACCCCTCCCACAAACCCCAGCTTTTAACAGCTTAAAGGATACATAATTTACATACCATACAATTCACCTATTGTAAATATATAGTTTGATAGTGTTTAGTAAATGTATGTAGATGGGCAACTCAATTGAACTTTATTTATTTTTGCTTCATCTCTTCCAAAACCGAATCCAACTTCCAAGGATAAATCTGGCCATAAGGAGTAAGGTCTTTCTCTTTTATCACCCAATGCAAACGACCATTATCTCTCTAGAAATAGTGAATATGTTTCTATAATTTTAAAAATGCTATTAATTATTCCCATTTATATTCAGGTATGATTTGAGTGATAGTTTAAAAAAAGTTGGGAATTAGTTCCCCTTATAAATCTCTCTTGTTCTCACACCAGAGTGTGTTGGCTCCAATCACACAGGGTGCAGGAAGGTCATCATTGGATAAAAGACTTTATGCCAAGTTGCACAAAAAGCATTAGAGCCTTGGCTGAGTGCTTCTTATAAAACATCAACATCCTGTATAAACTGTGATAAGAGCGACACCTGATGGAAAGTGTCGAGGGCAGGTGCCATTAAGATGACATTTCAAAAAAAAAGAACAAGTCATCTTCCCTTTCTGGGTTTAGATAATAGATTCCAGGTAGAAGCATTTGCATTTAGGAATCTGTCTTTGGGTTTTGCAGACCTTTCAAACACAAAGGTAGTAGAAACCAACTCAAAAAGTTAATCATGTCACTGTACTTTTTCTTTTAGGAAACACTTTAAAATGTAGAAAAACAGCTATTGAGTGGATTTTCATGGCAGTTTATATTTTATAGATGAATGTTGCCCTTCCCAGATCACATGCTTGAGTTAGAATCAACCTTTCCTTACAGGTGTACATACCAGTGGTTTTTAGCTCCTAAGGTCTGTCTAGCTTAAAAAAAAATTGATGTCCGAAGCTCTCTGTAGCCCAATGAAACTTTTCAGGCTTAATGCCCACTACTCTCCATCAGTTCTCACACTTGGGTGCACATTAGAATCATCTGCAGAGACTTAAAAAAAAAATCCCAATGTCCAGGCCATATGCCATTCCAGTTTATTTAGAATTTCTTGGGGGCAGAACCCAATATCCAAAAAACAAAAAACCCCCCACAAGACTTTTAAAAAAAAGCTTCCTAGAGGATTCCAGTGGTCAATCCAGTTTGACAGCCAGTTATACACTGAGTGGCCAGATTATTATGACCACCCCATCAGTACAATGAAGTGAATTAGTTATGCAAATAATAATAATAATAATAAAACCTTGAGAGTATTTGCTTAGGAAGTTTTCAATATTCAGTATTTTTGGAAGTGTCAATGAAGTACTGATGGGGTGGTCATAATAATCTGGCCACTCAGTGTATGTCTGGAGCAGCGATTCTCACAGTTTGATGTGCATATGTATCACCTAGGGATCTTCAAATGCGGATTCTGATTCAGTAGTTTGGGGTAAACTCAAAGATTCTGTGTTTCTAACAGACTCGATGATACTGCTAGTCCATAGGCCGCACACAGCAGGAGGACCTAGAGCAGGGGTGAGGAACGTCTGGCCCTGCCAAGGCTGGTTTTTTAAGTTGGTAATTTTGTATTGCCCTCGAATGATATTATAAATATCCAAATGGCTCTTGGCAGATAAAAGGTTCCCCACCCCTGTTCTAGAGGATCAAGATTACATGTCTGTCATCAACACATTGGTCTCCAACTTTTCCTTTGCTCATGACTTTGCATCCACTTATACTTCCCTTCCCTAATCTTCATCTATATCTAACTCTCTCTACCCTTCAAGTTTGTTTCAAGTGCCATCTCCTCGAAAGTGCAGACTGCTTTCCCTAATGAGACCCACCTTTGCAGGTTAACGCTTACTCATCTTTAAAGACTTAGCTCTCCTGTGGCCTCAGGAAAGCCTTTTCTGATAGGCCTTCCCTAGAGCCCACTGAGAACACAGAGCATTCGTGAACGCTAGTCCTTTCTCTCTTTCCTTCTCGTTGGATCCTAGGTTTTGTATTTTTAGCCCTTGAATAACATTTGTCCCAACTCGTTCCTCCTTGCAAGATGAGTTCCAGGACAGGCAGCATGGAGGTTTCTTCATGATTGCATATCTACCCTTTTCATTCTTCACCAAGTGAAAGGTCAAATATCTTTTCAAGGAATAAATATAATTAGTCAACTTTTTGACTCAGATAAATTATGGCCCTGGCAAGCTTGGGCACTGTTGCCACTCTTGGCTTCCATATGGCTGTGAGATCCTGAGCATTTCCCCAGAGGCTTGGAATACAGCTAACCTGCAGTTTTTACAGCTTCTTTCTGGGGACCTTCCCTTGCCACCGACTCACTAATCAGCCCTCTAGTGGTACATTTGAAGTAAATGTTTTATAGATCATGGCTACCTTAAAAATGAAAGTTTGCTTTACTTAAAAAACATCCCCCCCCCCAAACAGTTTTTACTATGTAGAGTATGAAGAAATTTACTACAGGTTGCCTTTGTACAAACTTTGATTCAAAGTTTGCTTTTAGGTCTTTAAGTCATCGAATACTATTAAACTATTAATATAAGTAATAGTTAATAACTAGGTTCTGGATAAGTTCAAATTTCATAGCTTTTGCTCATTAGCTGTAGGACCTTAGGTAAGTCATTTAAATTTTAAAACTTCAGTTTCCTCATTTATAAAAAAGGATGGTAGTACCCTGTAGTATTATTTTGGGGATTATATGAATGGGGGGTATATAATAACCTTACCTAGTACTTGTCATACAGTAATCACTTGATAGAATGACTATTATTCATAAATCATTTTAGAAAGTCAGGTTGGTGTAACAGAAAGGGCACTACTAGGCAAGAGTATCAATCATGAGCTGTGTGACAGCAGAAACGTCACCTGACATCTCTGAGCCTCGGTATCTTCATCTCTAAAAGGAAGTAAACAAAATTGGTCTGACCTGCTTCAAGGCTTGTTTGAAAGACTACACAAGAAGAAAATGGAAAAGCACTATAAATCACTAGATACTACTTGCCACTTAAAAAGCACTATAAACTATAAATCACTATATACTACATACAAATCTTTATAGTGATTTTAAGCCATTGGCTTTTCCCTTACATTAAAAGTAGGATGGTTGTGGCTCAGTATTGAAGAAAAGCAGGTGCAGGGTTCAGATAACTCAAAATTAAACTGGCTGTACAATGGGAAATAAAAATTTGATGTCACTGTCTGAGACTCAGTGAAATTTGAAAAGTATTCTGCTTGCTTAGTTCTGTTTTGTTTTTTTTAAAGGCAGCCAGCAGGGCTATAAAATTTCTCAATCTGTTTGCAGATTGTTTTTTCCAGAGCACATGTTCAGTGTCCTGGAATTCTAGGCAGTATTCTTGGACTCATTTCCCAGGTTCACTACGGAAGGTAAATACCACCCTGGAGAGTAGACTGGGGCTTGCAGTCAAATTGCCATTCTTTCCATCTGACACACTGAGTTTGCTCTACCCTGAAGTTATTCCCATATTCATATAAATTCTCCTACTGAGTTTCTCTCTCCTTTGAGGGGTATAGCAAGTTAGCCCAGGCCCTGACAACTTCTTCACAATGTGTATTATAATTTTGAAGCCTCTTATATATTTATTGAGCAAGTTGCTTCTCTGCTAATACTTTCTAAAGGACCTTGGATGCATAGCACTGTCATATAGTTTTTGGCATCATTTATTCATGGATATTAGGTATTTGTTACTCTATAAAAATGGCCCAGCTAGTGTAGGTGACACTTCTGGTTCTTTTTTTTTTTTTTTAACATATTTTTATTGATTTCAGAGAAGAAGGGAAAGGGAGAGCGAAAGATGGAAACATCAATGATGAGAGAGAATCATTGATTGGCTGCCTCTTGCATGCCCCCCACTGGGGATCGAGCCCACAACCCGGGAATGTGCCCTTGACCGGAATCAAACCTGGGACCCTTCAGTCCACAGGCCGACACTCTATTCATTGAGCCAAACCGGCTAGGGCCACTTCTGGTTCTTTTCCATCTGGTGTCTGAGTCTATGACTGAATGAGATGTTAAACTTTAAGGGACACACTATAAGGGTCATACTGAAGCTGATTGACCTAGTTTCTATTTTCACTTCACTTATCACTAGTAGAATTGCTTAAATAGACCAATTCAAGACAGCAAACTGATGTTCAGTGTTTTAGTAATTTGCTACATAATGTCTTCATCAAGTTTAGCTGTATGACATGCATAATAGGTAGGTTCATTCTAGATATTGTTACACTGATGTCATCCTTAATTATCCAATCTCTTACCCTTATCAGCCAATAAAAACCAAGTCATATTGCTATCTCTCGATTCACCCTACCTTTTACCATCCTCACTGCCCAAGCCAGGATCTACCATAGTCTCTTCACAGGTTTTCTTGTCATCCATCATTGCCACTTCTGATTGACTGATGCAGAACACAACCTGCATCATAGCCCACCCTTGCCTAAGAACCTTCAATGGTTTCCCACTGTTTTTTTGGGTAAAGACCAGAATCTTAACAAAGAAACACACAAGGCCTATTCGGATCTTTCCCACCTTTCCAGACACAATGGCAAACTCTTCTGCCACTTACACTGACCTGTTCTCACGGTTTCTCTTTCCCTGTTTCCTCCTTCTTGCCTCTGCAGAATGCCTTTGCTTGTGCCTACGCATAGCAAATTTCCCACCCCTCATCTGCTGAGCCCTGTTCATTCTTTAAAACTCAAACATCCCTTTCCCAAAGGAAAGCTTCCCTGTCACCTCAGATCCAGGTCAAGTTTTGGTTCACAGGTTTGACAGTGTGGGCTCATTCATTTAACGTAAACTTGGCAACCACTTGTTGGGTTTGTGTAGCCTGTTTTTTGCCATTTTTGTTTATGAGATATTGGGCAAAATTTTGGGCCTGTTTTCTCACCTGTTAAATGGGTTGGTTGTGAGAATTAAGAGCACAAGTGAAACACGTGGAAGAGTATGCATAGTAAATATTATTCCAGGGCACCCCGCAGTTCTTAGTTATGATCGGTTCCCATTAAATATATAAAGTGTAAGCTCAGGGAGAGCAAGCACCTTGTCAGGATTGCCTAGCGATGACGTCTCAGTGCCCCTGTGGAAAGCCTCACAGAGGAAGTGAAATAAGTATTTAAGTGAATAAATAAAAAATGATAAGGTGTTTTAGTGGAGGAAGAATTAAGAATTTATTTGGGCTTTAGTTATAGTTACCTCTCATAAAGAAAGCATTAGGGGCAATGAGACTAGATATTTTCTCAGGGTTCTGGGACTTGGGGAGCAGCAGAGGTATGAAAGCTGAAACTGGAACCTGTTTGCTCTCTGTTACTTTGACCAGTGGGGCTAAGAGAACTGTTGGTGTATAGCCTTAAAGAAACCACCCTGCTTTACCTTACAGACTTATGGGGACATTTTCAAAGCTATATTGCTTTTTCACCCCAAATTGCCTAATGGTAACTATGTAGAAATAAATAGGATGAAGTCAAATTTAGAAAACAGTGCTAAAGGAAAACACTCTTGTTCATGAAGAAAAGTTCAGACAACTTTAAACATTTTAACTTAAAAACAGAGCAGTGCCATTAATTAATTTCCTATTTAATTTGCTTTGGCTTACATAAAATATGAAATCATATATATATATAGGGATTTCATTCACTTAATTTAAACTTAGCAACTACTATATTTTAACCAAAATTATATTCTCAATGCTGTTCCGCTAAAGTGGGGAAAGGCTGGATCAATACAATTCTCACAGTGTATTTGTTAGAATTACTCGTTGCCAAATTATCTTCCTGTGAGCTTGTATACTGCTCCTGCATTTGATACTGAGCCTTTGCTTTTTGAGAAGACTCAAAAATCACTGTTTACACTTGCTTCTGCAAACATCATTTACATTGAAATTCCTGACTAATTCATGAGAAAGTTTCTGGATTGTGAACTAGAGTCAAGTTTAGTGTGTGTGTGTGTGTGTGTGCGTGTGAGCATACATAAAAAACTAACTATGACAACTTCATACTGCATATGCAAAGCTGGAACACAGTGAAAGAGAGAGGAAGGGGGCGCTCTCAATCACTTCCTGAATGCCACAGGGAGTTAAGTGCTACTGTTGTTGATATGAGCGCACATAGCTGACTGACCTTTCACTGTTATGAGTGGCTCTTCTTCTCCACATGCCGGATTTCTTTCTTTGTCTTCACCTTATAACCTTCTCCCTGCTTTAAAAGAAAAGTACATGTTAGGATTTCACGGCAAAGGAGTTTTAGTTATGAAGCAGTTCCAACTCTGGTTCCTTGAGGCTGGATTAGGATAAGTGAAACACAGTTTAAAGCACTTTGCCACTTCATGTCCAAAAATACAATCCACCGGCTTTAACCACACAGCTTAGCATCATCCAGGCAAGCTAGAGAGCACCACCAGAATGAAGACAGCGCCACTGTACTTCACGGTACTTCAGGTTAGTGAGGAATTGAAAAAGGAGCAGCCTGTCCGTTTCCGGTCGGAAGCGAGAAGAAATCATCGCGGAAGCTCTCAAGGCACTCAAACCCCAAACATAAAATATATTAATTACAACTTACGCATGTTTAAGCCAGCAGAATTTTAAGCTGTCATAATGAGACTGAAAGTTCTCAGCAAACCACTAATCACAACTAACACCATGGAAAAGCTGTGGATCTAAGGGACTTTTTAAAATTATTAATTATTATTTGTGGAATTACCAACCCCTCCTCTCACTCCAGACCAGGCAGACATCCATTTTCCATAAAACAAGACCCTTCTTCACCGAGCCGTGGGACACACTTCTCTGAGAGCAAAGTTTTTGTACAAATACTCAGCTTTTACCCTGTTTATAATTAATGGACAACACAGCAGCCTTTCCACAGATTTAGTCCTGAGAAATTCTCAGTTCACTTTTTCTTATGTAAACACAGGCTATTAAAGTTTCTATTTTTAAAATGAAAAGGTTAAAGTTCTAAGAAAAGGAAGGAAGAAATAACTAGCAGTGTTTTCTCTGGGAGATGGAGATCCATCTGCTGAGTTACAAGGCTCAGTAATGAGTTTAGTTCCTGAATTGGCACATTGGAAACACAGAGGAGAATTTTTGGGTTAAGAATGGAGGAATTCAGATTTCTCCGTAGAACATACTGTACAGGGAAAATATATTTGATATATGGGTCTTGAACTGAGCTTTTTGCCATTCTAACATTTAAATCCTGTGCATTTGCTGGAAACGAATGCTCTCCATCCGTGCCCAGACAGGCACTGGGCATGGGTGGGGCCCTGCCAACGGGTTTGGTGGTGGTAGAGGATTTTAATTTTTTCTAGGAATCTTGAACTGGCATGTTCTAACCTCCATAAATGAACATATCTCTGTGAACTCTCTGAAGATAGTAAAAGAATATAATGTTAAAGAATGTTAGGAAGAAAAGTCTCTTTCTTTGACCCTGATCAAATGCACAAGATATCAGGAGCAGCAAACGCTTCAAGCTGCCACACTGCCCACGCCAGCCTGTTAGCCGCGTACACGAGAGCGTTCACAAAGCTTTCATCCTCTACTTTCTCTGGGGCCGTCCCCCTCCTTTACCACGTCATGTTTCCTCTCTTGTGGGATAACCATTCGTCTTATCACTTTCCGAGTGATCTGTAGGAAGCAATAGTGAAAAGTAGAGATGTTTCCTGCTTTCTGTTTCAAGAGGGGACACTACAGCAAGCAAACAGAACATCTAAATTCCAAGAGAAGTATGAAATCCCAATGGTGATTACTTTTCTGGTGACGAGGTTGCCTTCTTCATCAGTAAAGTGTTCTTCTGTGACAGATTCACCAGGAATGTGTTTTGCTTCCTCTCCCTAGAGGATGTGGCATAGAGATTAGCAACATACCAGGTGGAGAGATCTCCCCACCACTCCATACACCACACACATGCACTATGGAATGTTAGAAAAAGAAGGCATACGTTCTACTGGCTCTTCCAGGGTAGGGGGAAAAGGCTGACTCCACTGATAGTTATTTAGCAGTCAACAACATTCAAAGCACTAAACCTCAAGTATGTACAAGGATGATGATTAGCAACAAGCTCCAAGAAGGAAGAATTTAAAAAATACATAACTATAGAATGAACACGTACACATTGCTTTACAAAGCAAAAGGTTTCATTGGTTGAAAAAAGTTTAGCCAATGATTAGGGCTCTAATTAGATCATCTCACTTTCAGTACAACCCATTTTTATGAATGACAGTATGTCTAATGTGAATTAAGGTAGTACCTTAATTGGGAAATTTATCACCCATTGTTAGTTTAACTTAAAATTTCATTTACTAAGAGCAATATATACATTTTTTGGAAGCACTGTGAGAAAGTTCAGGGAAAATCTTTTTTTAAGACTGAACCTTTCATAGGTCTTAAAATAAATGAGAATAGCTGTCTGATAAAGTACTTGGTTTCAGAATACTACTATTTCAAGTGGAGCTCCTATGTAATGACTGATTATCTAGTCTTCATTGCCACAGACCAAAAAAATAGTCAGTACGAAAGGAATTTAAAATAGTATCTTTCAGTTAGTGACTGTTACCTGGTTAAGAAGGGGAAAACTGTCAAAAGACCTTCCTCTAGTGAGTTTAAAAAAATAAATTCTTCAATCTCCAAGATGGGCTCTTACTATCCTGCTCATAGGAAGTTTGGTAGATTGAGATGGCTCCTTAATATCTCTCTATTAGTTCTATGATTGCATCAGAAGAACCACTTAAAGCAAACATAGGACTGTATTTGCAATACATTATTTTTGGCACTGGTATTCAACTTTAGGTTAGTGCCACTTACAGTTTTGGAGAACAAGGACAAACATCTGAAGTGCAAACCTATTCTAGAGCCATACTGACCTATTAGTTAAACTTTTTGTTGAAAAGGTGACCTGGATATTGCTACACTACAGTGTACTCTAGCTACTGTGCACTACTGCCTTCTTAGGAAAAGTAGCGGGTCACAAAGACTGCTGCATCTCTGGGAGAGCCAGGATTCTAGCCCTTTCAGTGGTACTGTCACGGAAGAGGTAGCTCTGATAATTTTGTCAGTGCCAGCCAATGGTGGGAGAACTTGATGAGTGCTTTATGTGGTAACAGGTAGAAAGGCAGCTCTGGTTTAAAATGATGAAAAGCGTAAAGACGAAACACTATTGTGCTTTGCTAACAATATTCTGTTTTCATTCTTTCTTTTTACAAAGTGACTTTGTGTTCTTATAGATTGTGGGATCATAGGTCGTGACAGCATGTGGGACATGCGACTTATCTTACTTCACTGTGGTCTAGAGGTGGGATGAAAAGAAAAGATGTTTCTTGCTACTCATATTTAGTTCACCTTGAATCTCGCTTACGATTAATTTCAATTAACACACTTAACAGAGAGAAGGAGATTGGAGAAATGTAGAGGACTTATGACTAAATGCACTAAAATCTGCAAGACATCTTTATGGGAGTGTTATTTATATTTAATATCGTTGGTGTCATTAAAAAAGCCATTTTATTTTAAAAGTAAAAGCATAAAGATAGTAGAAAAGGCTAATAAAAGGTCATGAGAGATGTCACTATAGTTTAAATATGAATAAATAGAATATTTTTGAGCTAACTTTTGGAAATGTCTAGTTCTTAGAGTGTTAGAGAATCCCAGGAAAATACAGTAAAACAGAATCCTATTGGACATATCATGAATGGACCCTTTTGTGGGGAAAGATGCCAATTCATTTTTAAACTGTTTGGACAGTCTCTGAAAGAAATGTGAAGTAGTTATATGTATTCACTACATGCTTATAAATATAAGTGTACTGACTAATATTAATAGTCTTAGAAGAAAGCAAAGCCCTACTTATAAGTAACAAACCATATAGGTTGTTGAGATCTACTCTGGTATGCAGGATTTTCATTGTTTCCTACTGAAAATGCATACTATTGATGTAAAATTAAAGTTATAGGTATATCTCTTAATCTTAAATGGCCATAAAGTATAGTCAATTATGCTTTAATAAGATAAAAATAAATTGTCAAAGTATGTAAAAACTCACTAAAGTAGATAAGATAGGAACGATAGTAAGGAGTCAAAAAATACATTAAAAATCATCCATTTAAAATTTTGTCAAATATATTGGAAATCAAGTGTTAGGAAGGAGAGGTCTTTGGGGCTTCTCCTTAATGAGAGAAAATAACCCCTAATTAGTTTCTAAAGTTCTTGGAAACAGTTTGTACTGTTAAGTAAACAAAATTCCCCCCTCTGGCCTTATTGATGGCATTATTTTTGGCAATACCCTCCCCTAGCACATACTGTTTCTCTTTCCTATTTCTAAGGAAAAATACAGTATCTATCTGTCAACCCTGGTGGCCATCACCCTGGTGGCCACCTTACTGAAGACTAACTACTTCCCTTTAAAACCCTGCCAAAACATTTTATAATTTTTATTCCTCCTTGAATTTTTTGAATAAAATGAAAGAACAATTAACTATATACAATGTACCAATTTGCTTTGATGTACACAATATTACAACTTCAACTTTCCAAAAAATGGGGGTAGATATCATGGGGGTAGATATATGGTGCACACATAACTTGGCAAGTTACTAAGCAATATATACAGTATAACTCATTTTTATATTCTAAGAAACCCACTTGCAAAGGATGTTGTACATGTACATAAAAATCGAAAGCTAATGAACAGTAGCTACTGCCCCGAGTGCACAAATTTTTGTGCACTGGGCCTCTAGTTCTTATATAAAGGAGAGCCAGCTTCTATCATGGCAGCTATTCTAAAGGAATAGGTGGGTTTGGATGCAACATGAATGTCACATGTTAAGCATAAGAAGAAGCAAGTTACACTATGTTTGGTGCACTTTTTCTAGACGTTTCACTTTAAAATACCATTTCTTAAAGACATTATGAGAATAGCGAAGCCTGAGCAAAGAGTATGGCTTTACCTCCTTCAGAAAACTGAATTATTTCTTTCCTCCAATTCTAGAAAGGTGTGGGAAGTGATTATGAGGATTTATGGATAGCAAGTTGAATACTTACAAATATGCTAGATCCCAATAAGGAATTTGGCTTGCCTATACAGAATTTTAAAGGAGTCATGCTTTTTGATAGCCCCCTATTGAGCTCAAGGTTGATTGGGGGATAATGTAAAATTTAGACAAGGCCTTATTTTCTTCTCTAATGCTTCCAAAGTCTTTGAAAAACTATACTAAGCAGATTTCTCCTCTTCTTTAATTGGATCTACATGAAAAGTACAAGCAGCAGGATTAAGAATTTTTGGATACCTAAGCCAACATCTCTGCTCTCTGTAGAGTCTCCTGACACTTTAGAAATGGGTAAGTTTGACAAATGGTTTTCAATAGACATTTCCCTTCCTTTCTTTCTAGAGCTGCCAACCAAAGAGCCTCAAGTTATTTGGATCACATTCGGAGGCCTGGGTATTGAAAACAGCTTCCTAGTTCTCTGCACTCAATCATTTTAACATCAAGAAAGATCTCGCTAAAGACAGTAATGAAGACAAGCAGCAGACTGAGACACATTCTGCTGGACCTTCCCACGCATAAGGTCAGTGCTTCAAAGGCCTTTATGGGGGAAATCAACTTATTCAACTGTGCTGTAACAGGTGAGATTATGTTTTTCACTTCTAGTAAAGATTGCTTCCTATAATTTAACATGCAAAAAAAAAAATCAGGCTGTATTTTTGTCAAGTTAAAAACCTGTTTCATTTATTGGGGTGATGTTGGTTCATACAATTATACAGGCTTCAAGTGTATAATTCTATGATACATCATCTGTATATTGCATTGTGTGCCTATCACCAATACAATTAACCAATGTCACCTGAATAAATTTAATTAAAAAAACTATTTCAGAAGTTTTTGCTTAATTTGCCTTATGTCATATATCCAGGCTATAACATCAAAGTCCTAGTCATTGCTAAAAAACAAACAAACTAGTTTTCACTTAAAAAACTGTGAAGGCAGAAGGAATTTGAGACTGAGAAGGAAGCCTTTCAATCCTCTTAGCTCATCCCTCATTACGGCCTCTGAGATTTCATTGAACATTTCATTTGATAGGGACTATTCTCTCACCAAGATAGAATCTTTGTTCACACATATAACACTTCTTCAGGGAAAGCAGGATACAATTCCCCAAGAATTCTCAGATAAAATTAATTACAACTGTCAGGTCAAACAGGTCTCACTACCAAGCAACATGACATTTTCCCTTTTGTTATTGTTTTTATAAGCTTCCAAATGTGCAGACAAACATATAGCTGGCCATTTAGTTATCAAGCATGCTGAATTTTCAAAACCACAAGAAAGGACTTTCTAATAATACAGCAATGACCCATGATGATTTGGCTACCGGATACCTTTATAATCAAACGCCGGCGAATAACTCGGGTAGTGACTCTCTGTTCCTCCTCTGAGCTTGAATCACTCTCACTGTTTTTCAAGTCCTGATAAATGTATTTTTAGCATAATTTTACCATCACATTTAAAATAAAAGACATTCTGAGAAGGGAAATCAAAAAAGAATTACTTTTACTTGCTGGTTTTCCCTCCTCTAAGGAAAATCATGATGTATATTTGTGAAAATGTTTTTAAAAATTTAAGTGAAAGAAAATTTTGAGCAGGATTCTAAGTGAAACTACTCTGTATGTATGTATTTATGCATAAGTGTGTGCATCTAATTACTTTGGTCTTTACCTGCATATATATATATAAGACCAAGGTAAATAAATGATAAAATATTAAAAATAACAATTTTAGAGACTTTTTGGCACCAGAAAGTACATGCTACTAATTATTAGTTTGAAGAAACATTAATATTAATTTTTAACTAGTTTCAAGTCTATATACATTTGACTTAAATGTATAATCTTATAGTTCAGGCCATGTTTCAGTTAATCTACAGAAAAAGACATGGTATTTGATTTTATGAAATTTTGGTCAGATTTGACAAATTTATAAGAATTTATATAAGCATAATTGGTACCTAGTAAGAGTTTATTCAAATAAATGAAGGAATAATGTAAAACATGTCAAATATGAGGTCTTCTTTAAAGAACTGATATGAAATTAGAATAGAAAAAACATCTGATAGACAAGATCATGGTATAAACAGAATACAGTAACTAAACAAATGCTAATTTTTAGGCAATAAAGATAGGAATATGAAAAAAACTGCCAAGTGGCAAACATTTCATATTTCAAAGGGAAAAATATCTTTGGCTTCTAATTAAATGTCATAGTGAAAAATATTTACTGAATGATTTTATTGATGGAATTCTGAAATTTTATTTTCTAAGTTTACTAATTACCTCAAATTTGATAGTACTGGAGTTAGAAGTTGTAGTTAGAAAAATCAAAATAAGTAAAATTGTTATGGGAGGTATAAGTGCTAGCTAAAATGATTAATGAAATGTTAGTCAAATAGATAATACAGTAGGCCATATTCACCAAAGGTAAACTTAACAAATATATAAAAATATAATATCAGTCTTGACTTTGTGGGAAAGTTCATGTGAACAAAACATCCTACTGAATAATATATAGTGTCAAATGGAAACAGTTTTTGAGTTTCTTACTCTTTGCAAAGATATTGGTTGCTAAGTTTCCTATTACTTTTTAAAGTTCATTAGAAAAGGACCATAAATTCAGGACACTTAAAATGACCTAATATTATGAAAGAAGGCCTTGCAATAGTTCCAAAAGGCAGAAAGAGGTAAGAGTAATTCATATTGTGAAAGAAAAGAAGTACTAATCAGCATTCAAGGATAAGTAGGTTAGATGAGGCAAAGGGAGAATTCAGTCAGGATTAACCATACACAGAATTGTAAACTGGGGAACAGTTTTCCCTTGGGTAAATTTAAAAGCAGAAGAACAGATACTAATGCAAACACTAGTAACAAATCTAGATGTCAAATTATATCATAATCGTATCAAGCATCATCTAAGACCAGCCCCTCACATAAATAAAAAGTGGCCATTTGGCCAGTGTTTTAGTTTCCATTCTCTTCCTGGAGTCTATGCTAATATTAAGGTGAAAAGTAACAGAATGTAGTAGTAGGACCTCATCAGGATTCCTTTTGGAGAATTCGCTAGGAATTGGTAAACAGCGTTAACTAAGAGGCCAAATGGAATTTTCTTAGTACTCCTTGCCATGGGTTGCTGCATGGAAAGAGGTGGAAAAGAACAGAATTTTACCTTGTAACAGCAGGTAGTCATTCGTGTAAGAGCTGCACCCGGACTTTTGACCTGATTATTTAGGGAACAAAAAGGGGGCTGTTTCTGAAATCATACATCAGATGACCTTTTGGTTGCTACTGTCCTATGGTCTAGTCACAAAAGACCCATCCGAACATCTTTGGATTTCTTGTGAGGTCAGGCTCATATCTACCAGAAGCTTGAACTCCATTATGAATTTTTATGCTCATAAAGCCTTTACGCATTGGAGTAGGACCTGTGACCAACACCAAAGGCATAAACTCATTTATTAAAAATGTTGCAAACATTTCCTAGTATGATTATTTTCTATTACTGATGAACTCAGCTGAGATTCCTTCCAGGATTAAGACTTTATGCCTTCTCCTTGGTTCTCCAATAGCCAATCTGTATGCACATGTACACACAGAGGTGCTTATTAATACTTTGATTTCGGTACTTTCTATTGATTTTAATAGGCTTTTGCACAATAAATGTTCATAGTTAAAACGCCATAATGTTAATGTTTCTAACTGTGGGCTCATTTTAAAAGGGAATATTTTACTCAAAATCATACTGCTTACATAAACTAAGAGTTAACTAAAAGAAATTGATATTCAAAACCCCACTTGTCAGGAAAGAAGTGGAAAAAAGACCTGACAATTTTACTTCCTTTCCCTTTCCTTCTTAACAAGCAGGAAAATGGTCAAAAGATAGTCTGCAGAAGGGAAAAGGAGAGATATTAGTCAATAAGCTGACAATTAGCTCCTGAGTGATTGGGAATTTATACATTTTTAAACCTCATATTAATCATGGACTCATTATTTGACAAAAGAAAACTAGATGTTTTAAGGAAAATGAGAAGTGCTACTATTCCCAAGATGTATAACTCTTAATCTATGTCTACTACATAGTTCATGAAAAGACATAACATTTGAGAACAACAACAAAAAATCAGCTCTATTTTCTCATATCCATCTTTGAATCATAATTTCAATTTAATTTTTTAAAATATCTAAAAATGATAAAACCTCAATGAATAAAAAACTATTGAATAGTATCACCAAAACATACAAGTACAAAGAGCAAGCAAATAATTCTGTGGCAGTAGGTTTTAAAATTATTAAGAACAAATATTAAGATAATTATCAACTTAGATATAAAAATTATTAAAATGATACTTCTTACTTTAAATTTCTAAATGCTATCAACCAATAGTGGTATATACACACATCATTGTAGGCTTGGGAACTATGTTTCTTCAATTTTTAAAGCACACTTTCAGACACACTTTCAGACAACTGACCTTACAGGGTAGAACTTTTAGATGGGTTGTGTGTTATAAACTTTAAATTATGCAAAAGAACCAGAAAGGGTCAGAACAATTACCCTCATTGCATAGGAAAGAAGATTGGATTGGGAGTTAGGAAACTTAAATCCCAGACAAAATAATACTGGACCTTAAGCTGGTTACTCAATATCTCTAAAATCTGAAAAATGGCCAAAGAGATGGTTATTTCTTTTTCCTACCCTATGAATGACGGACGATATGATCAAATAGCTTATGTTTTACTCAGAACTTCCTTTATCCCCAATATAATTTTTGGTCACACATTTATAATTTGGAAATAGCAAAGAACCTTGGGTCAATGCTACAACATTAATCAGAGGAAGCGAATCATCAATACCTTCAGTTTAAAGGACAGCATTCTGAATAAAGGCGACGTACCTTTGGCTCAGACCCACTGGACCCCTCTTCTTCGTGGAGGTTAAGCCTTGGCTTGCCATCTGCAGGAGAAGTCCTACTCATCTTTTTCATTCCGACAGGCACACAGGGTTTAGGCTCCTCCATTACAAACTTGCTGGTTTCTTCGAGAGATTTCTGATATGCTGCTAGTGATGATGCTGGTTCCTCAACACGACCATATCCGTGTGGTTTTGGTCTCAGAGTTTCCTTAGTACTCTGTTTGCCTACATCATTTTGGGATTCTGGAAAGTAAGATTTCGTCTTTGCTTCTGGAGTGACTTCTGCATGGTTCCCATTTGCTTCAAATTTCCCAGGTTCTCCTTTGAGATATGAGGTAATGGAATCTCTACATTGGTCTGGGCTGCAGAAGGTAAAACGTAGAAATTTACAATGGTAACACATGGCTGGAAATGGGTCTAAATTTTTAACTACTATGTTTTGAAATACATTTGAAGGCATAAAATAGAAAGGCCTGAGAACTCTGCTCACTGGATTTCAAACTGTGAGGGGCAGTCCTGGGTGTGGGGGTGAGGAGGTGCTACGCAGGCTCTAGGCAGCTCCCAAGCTGGCTAGCTATGCTGTCATTGTTTGTGTTTTGTTTGATTGCACTTCTATAGCTGCTTGAATTCTATATCTTAAAAAGCAATCCTGAGCAGTTCATGGACCGCTCAGAGTTCCAGACCCACTAATTTAAAAGAGGAGGATATCTCAAAATGCTTTTATACTGCCAGTGAAAAACCTGCTGATAAGGCACAAAATGAATTCCTGTGATGAGAGCTCTGGCATCCCCTAGAACCCCAAATTCTAGTCTTTGTGTTTCCAATTATGATTCCTGCTACCATGTTTCCAGCTATAATTCTCTTCCTCACTCCCATCTTTCTATGCCCCTGACCTCTGCTGACACTGACTGGTGCTCACTCACTGCTTTTACTTCCTGTGAGAACTATTTTTCTTTCAACTATTAAAAATCGTTCTCTTCCAGTACTTAAAAAAAGTGATTTCTAATTTTTAGTCATTTCAGTATAGACTTTTTGTAGCTTGTGTATTGTGTTTAGTGTCTTTGCTTATTACCCTTAGACTTCTGAAGGCAATAACTATTGCAATGTTTTATATGTATAACATATTATTATGTATATATATGTAAGTATGTGTGTGTGTGTACACTTGTAATCAAATTGATTATCTAAACACAATTATTAAACATATCAATAGCACACCCTATTCTGTTTGTGTAAGGACAAATGGTTCCAGCACATTGTGATGATCCTATAACAGCGGTTCTCAACCTGTGGGTCGCGACCCCTTTGGGGGGTCAAACGACCCTTTCACAGGGGTCACCTAAGACCATCGGAAAACACATATATAATTACATATTGTTTTTGTGATTAATCACTATGCTTTAATTATGTTCAATTTGTAACAATGAAATTGGGGGTCACCACAACATGAGGAGGTTGAGAACCACTGTTCTATAACATAACTACAACCATAAACTATACGACTGTATCTGAATGTAGACATCAGAAGTAGTGATCTTGGCTCTTTGGTAGGGTGAACACAGAACTCGTTGATGCTACCATTCTGCAAAAAAAGTTTTGTAAACTTCACCTTTGGGAATTTTATGGAGCAAGAGGCTTAGTAAGATGAAAATATTAAATTTGGTTATGAAATAATCTGTTTTTTTGCATCCAACTTAATTTTATCATTAGTTGCCATTGAAGTAAAATGTCTGATGTGTACATAAAAAAATATTACTAACAGACTATTTGCATCAGTCATTTGATATGCATGCTACAAGCTTTCTTTTTCAATATATAAACCTGTTTGAGGAAAGTAGTCATTCTTATTTTTAAAGCTGATTAAAGTGACATTCTTAGAGCTTAGAAATTCATCCAAAGTCACAAAGTGCAAACCTAATGATGGTGAGATTTGAATCAAAGTCTGGAGGACATTAAACTCCCACCTTTCTAGAGTAAGGCCACTATAAAAAGAATCAGATTCATAATTAGGGAATTACATTGGATATAAACAAATTTCAATCATGGCAAAATTATTTGGGCTAAAGAATTACATATACTGCCTAGCCAGTGTGGCTCAGTGGTTGAACCAAGAGTCACTGGTTCGATTCCTGGTCATGACACATGCCCCAGTTGCGGGCTCAGTCCCCATTGGGGCATGTGCAGGAGGCAGTCGATGTTTCTCTTTCATCAATGTTTCCCTCTCCCTTCCTCTCTCTCTCTAAAAAAAAAATGGTACATATACTATATTTCAAATCACGTAAAACACTCGTAGAAAAAAGGAAGGATATTATATAAAAATGTGTTTTCTTAGTATGGTAGAAAGACAGATGACTTTTCTTTTTCTTTGCGTTTTCTGTTAAGACGTTTTAAAATATGTATGCAAAAAAAAAAAATCCACCAAAATTTTAATGGTGGTTATTGCTAGATTGTGGGGTTGCATTGATTTTTCATAAATCTGTATTTTTAAAATTTGTATAATAAGCCTACATATGTTTATATTTCTTTTAAAAACTTGGAATTTATTTATTATATTATTTTGAATGAGCATTAATTACTGGCTATGTGAAAAGAGTAGTCTTCTAAAGTAAAATGTACATCAATCTTTGGCATGTATTTCAAACTTTCTGCATTTCCCTCAGGCTGTCAATAGTTTTAAGAATTATATTTGCGCTTAATGTAATTTTCCCTCTCCGGATTAGCAAATGAACCAACCTTTAAAGCATGTATTATCCCCAAACTGGAATGGTCATGTAGAAAAAGAGTAATTGCTGAAAAGCACATATTTAAAACAAACTACTAATATGTAACCTGTTTCATTTTCCTTTTTCTGAAACAGCCATACCTGTCATCCAGTCGATCTAGTAACCCACCAGTTATTCTTCGAGCTTGAGCCGGGGACTCTAGGTTTCCACTGGTCTCATTCTGCCAACCTGTAATTGAAGACATTTCCAGTTCTGCTTGCTGAACACGTTTAAGAATAGCCTCTACTTTTTCTTCTGTCATCTCCTCAGACTCTACTCCTTCTTCAAGTTGAATGTCCTCAAATAGAGATTTGAGTTTTTCTTCTGTCATCTCCTCATCAGGACCAGATTTTCCTTTCTCTTGCTGCTCAGAGCTGACTCTTACTTTTCTAGTATGTTTCAGTGGCTCTGCTGGTTTAACATCTTTTGGGACCCCAGCCATACTTCCAAGGTATCGAGGATACTCACTCAGATAAACATTCTCCAACTGGCTCTCATCTACATCGACTGCTTCGGGCATTTCTGTTATAGGCATTGAGTCTTCAAGTCTGCTGTCTTCTAAGGAAGTGTCTTCTGCAGTTACAACTGGAGGTCCATCTGCTGAATGCTCTACGTTTCCCCGGGAAGGCACTAGCCCATCACTCAGTCTACTGGGGGTTCTAAGGGGAGATTCTGTGCTAGAGGTATCACTAAAATAATCATCTTGCTGGAAAGGGGTGGGTGGTGTGTAGTGCAACCCTGTGGGAGTTTCCAGTTCCACTTGAAGGGAAGGATAACCTATGGAAGACAGTACATTTGGACTGACTGGAATGAATTACGAACACATCAAACAAAAACACATGGAATGACTTAAATTATATCAGGTATGAAAATGTATGATGAATTACAGAATGATAAATTTATTGGTTTAGTTTAATTAAATGTAATACAATGAAATAAAAGGCTAGTGCAAACTATAATAAGATAGGATATTAATTAAGATATAGACTGTTTATCAATTTTGGTAATTTTAATACAATAACTTAAATACACAGATTAATGTAATCTAATATAAAGTTATTTGCCACTATATAAGATACATTTATTCCATGGCCAAATTTATTATCATTCAACTTTTAGCATGTAAAATCCATATTTTGGTGGATCAAATACAGCAAGCCACAAGAAACCAATTTTTATAATTACTTATAACTTATTTTAACACATTGCGTACCGCATAGAAATCTCTAAGACATACGCCAGGGACCGCACGTTTTTGGGCAAACTGCACGTTATTTAAATCATCATAATGCACTTTAGGTGTTGCTTTTCAATAATTATAACATTTTTATTTACAAAAACAATTAAACAATTAAAGTTCCTAGTACTTTTTTAACATATGGTACTGCGTAAAACATTTTCCTCTATGAAGAGGGACCAAACAAAATTTACATAAGTATTTAGATTCGCTCCTTTTTCCATGGACGTGAAAAACGAGAAAACTCGTGAGCGGTCCTTAACAGATGGCGTGCTAAACATGAGAAAACTCCTGAGCGGTACGAAATGTGTTAAGAACAGTGTATAAAAGCGATTCTACCCAACTCTAATTTTTAGTTATTTCACATGAAATTTACAGCAAAGAAAAATGAATTTAATATTTGGAAAGAAATGATTATTAGATTTTGGGAAAAAAATCTAAAACCATGTTAGGTAAAGGATTTAAAAAGCAGATAAAGTAGAAAAGACTCCATGTAAATTTTCAAGTGTCATAATGTGTCAGAGATGAAAGGGCTATGGTGTATATGGACATTTTGGTAAACTTGGTGAGATGGGTCCACTCAGAACCATGAATCAAATAAAGAGAAAAAGGAAATGGTACAACAGAGACAGGAGGAAAACCATCTGCAAAGAGGTCTGAATATCCACGACAAGGCTATGAAACACGGAGGTTTATTAACCAGACTACATAGAGGGGACGGAGGGAGCAGGTCTCATGTTTTAAACTGTGCTGCATGGGCTAAGGGAGTATTTTTCTCTTTGAGCAGAGAGAAAAGTCAACACTGGTCTGGTCATGGTGAGGAAAGGAAGTTTTACAGAATTTCAACAAAGAGGAGAGACAGGAAAAAAACAACACACAACGCAACCCAGCACATTTTCTGAATTATTAGTCTACAAAACTAAAGCCTCATTTTTCCATCAGTCCAAGGTAAATACCAACTTAACTTTTATTGTGAATTCAGATCACTATAGGTAAGTGAATATTTTCCTATTATGGTCACCTGTAGACCAGAATCTTGTTGAAAAGCTGGCTAAGATTAGCTGAGGTTTATAATCTGCACAAGTAATATTTATTTAATGCACATATCCCTAAATTTCCCTATTCTGATTTTAAAATGTTAAAATTAAATGTAGTTTTCAATTCCATTGAATACGTCCATTGTTTCCTGGTGATCTTGTGTATTAGAGCTACTGTGCTTAAAAATTTTCCCAACAAAGAATATTAAAAGATTCTATAATTTGGCAATAATTCATCAATTGATATAACATGATACGTCTTTAGTACCAATACATGGTTTCACATATAAGATAAGGCTTTAAAGAGAGCTTTTCCCCAAGATTCTCTGGTGTTTATAAACTTAAAGAGAAACCACTTTTGACATTATTACCCATCATTCTTATGTTATGGTATGCTTTAAATTTTCTGTTGACTTTGAGAACTTTTGTCACATAACATGCAGACTTAGAGGTTATTGATTCTTGTTAGTCTAACTTTTCCAGTTTAAAACTGGAAAAAGAATCATCATATTTTCCAAAACATGGAATAGTAGAAAAATATCCCTAGTCCTTCTTCATGCCTCCACACCATCATCAACATTTTTACTCAAAATTCATTCTAGGAATAAATTCCATTTGTGAAGGAAGATGAGCATCTTGAAAAACATAAGATATGTTATGCTTTTCTTAATACTTTAATGAAAAAAGCCCAAATTTACATAATGAAGGAAAAATTACAATATCTATAAATGAAGCTAATGTAAAATACAAATTATTTTATTAGAGACATATATGCTCATTGAATTAGAAATTATGCTGCCTTTTATAAACTATATATCAAGTAGGGTTTTTCCCCCCAACAAATAAATAGCACACAGCGATAAAATAATGCTAAATAACTAAAATACTTTTTGAGTGACACATTAGACTTTTTCAGTACATACTTAAATACTGGGTCCCAAAACAGTAATTCAGCATTTTACTTAACAATTTGTATACTATATGCTTAAGCTTGACCCAAAACCTTACTTACTTGGTAAAACAGCTTGCAATTTGGTTTTGTCTATATACATTAAGCTAATTCACTAGTTTTTAAGGTTAATGTGAAAATGACAAAAACTGTAGTGTCTAGATATTAAACTTTTTCCCATTTGGTCACATAAAATATTTGAAATAGAATTCTTTCAGATAACATATGCTTTTATATCTCATTGTTCATATTTTACATAACAGATATTTATCATTTGGTCTATCAGAGTATATATTTGCAGACTCTGGCAGAAAAAATGCTGTGAAAATGAGAAATTAAGTCAAGCAAATCATCATTTAGCTGGTTTAACTGACTTCCTTGTTTTACTGCACTTTCAAATTTTATCAAATGATTAAATAAATATGAACACTGGATTCAATTACCATCAACAGGGTCATGGAAAACATTGTTCTCATCTGCAAAACTTCTGGTGCCTGAAATATTTCCATAATCAAATATTGGTCCTTCTAGCAGAGTCACTATATCTATTCGATTAATTTTTGTCAAGACCGAAGTTAAGGCATCAGCTGAAAAGGAGGGGAAAAAAAAGGTTGAAAATCCAAGGAAATTATTTCTTTCAGTCATCACAATATCCACACAAAGATAGCTTTTGCTACCCTGCTAGTATTTTAGCTTTTCTTTATTGCAGCTCTGAAAACCAGAGGGCTCAGAAAACTGGCCACTCCTGAGAAGATTTGTAAGGGTCTTAAGAATCACCCGATAAAGCTGTGCTTGAAGACAGCAACATTCATTCCATTGTAAGATGCAGAGCAGATGAGCCCCAAAATAGCTACATTCCTTTTAGTTATAAGGGGATATCATAAAATTTTAAACATGTTCCTCTCCTTTCAGACTGTCAAAATAGGTCGCCCTCATATCTGATGCTTAGCAATTTAATGACTTACTAAAATCAGGCTGACCTTACAATAACTTATTGCACATTGTTGTGGGTTGGCACTTGTCATAGTATAGCACCCCCCTATGCCACCCACAATAAAACAAAACCCAACAATATTAGAGAATTCTCTGCCACCACAGACCAAACTGTGTACAATGATTTGATCCCCTAATTTGATCCTGTTTTTCACTCTCTACTTCCCTGCACATCCATCTCTGACCATAGCAGTAACTTCATAAGTGTTTGCCTACCACCCCACGATTTAACAGTTAGAATTACATTTTCACTTTTAATGGTCACAGAGAGAACTTCAGACAAAAACGCAAAAAAAATCCCCTATTTGCTTTCTGAAAGCTTCCTAAAGATAGGTTAGAATATTTGCACTAAACTAATATAATTTCAAAAGACCTGCTACCACTTTTTGATTACTCTGATGTTATTAACAGTAGACTTATAGAGAATATTGGATTTATGCAGTTATGAAAGTTAAAGTAGTATAATTTTAGCATACTTGTAGCATTTTTTCCATCTCTGGTAACCCATTTTTTTAATAACATGAAGCTTTGAGAAATTAAAGAATTTGGATTTTCCACACGTATTTGATTGATTTCATCCACTGAAAAATTCAGTTCCCTTGCCAGTTCTGTAGAAAAGAAAAAGAGTTACTTAGATTTTGTATTCTACTTTTATCACATATATTTCATTTAAAAAGAAAAGAATTTTACAGTAAAACCTAAGTACAGCCTTGGACAATAATCATTATATACTTGATTTCTCAGGAAAGTAGTGATCCTACATAGGCTGTGATTGAACTCTTAGTTACAATTAGATTATATAGTTTATTGATCTGCAGAAAGATTTGCTGGATTCTTTTAATTCAGCCAAATTATTCTTTCAATTCGAGCAAACTTCGTACAAGGGATATACAGTTCATAAATATACGGCACAAGAGATGCTGGTGTTTTCCCTAGGCAGTCTTCATGAGGTACATCTTTTACTCACTTAACATTCTACTCTATATGTCATCAAGTTGCATGAACTTCACTTTGGAGGCTAAGGGATGACTCCAGGCCAGATCACTGTGTACCATATGCTGCCACATGTATACAAAATAAAGGGAGATAACTTTCTATCCATCTAGATGTATACACTCAATCTTGTTTATGCTGAGAGTGTCTTTGGGAAGATATGTATGAGTAGTAGTGGCTGCTTTAGTAGAGGGAAATGTAGAAGTCAAAGGTGAGAAGACTTATTTTTTTGTATAATTAAAAAAAGATTTATTAGGCATGTAGTACCTTAAATAATTATAAAAAGTAAGGAATGGTAAAAATATCCTTCCATGGAAAAGGAATTGGTCAAGATTCTATCCTGCTTAAAATTTTTTATATTGGCTATTTTTTATTTAATCAAAAGGATATATATTTTTACATTCAGTATTATTTTGTGTTAGTTTCAGGTATATAGCATAGTGGTTAGACCATCATATTTCCAGCAATTTGTTAAAATGCATTCGGAGGCTCAAAAAAAGTCCATATCCTTTGATCACGTGATTTTACTTTTAGAGATCGATCTTGACAATACTTAGGGTTGTACATAATGATTTACATACATAGAATGTTCATTGTAGGCCTGTACTACTGAAAAATTGAAAACAATCCAAGTGTTGAACAAAAGAGTTAATTAATGTAATGCAATGCAGGGGCTTGCAAACTATTTTGATCAGAACCTACAATAAGAAATATATTGTATATCTTGGTGTTGCTATAAATGAAACTGATCTTTATGGAGCAAAACTAGCGTTAATACATATAATACACAGATGTGTTCTTTACCATTCTATTCCATTTAAAAACATAACCAAAGCATGAATTGATTCCATGACTCACTAGTGACCCACAGTTAGAACAACATCATTGTATAAAGTATCTCTATTGGTTGTTATTGTTTGGGCATTAAAATCAAGATCAGAGAATATTTAATTTTGTAGAAACTATGTACTTGCAAATAAAAAAGCAGTAAGTTGCATAGTTAATATAACATTTAAAAGAGCATTTTATAAAAAAAAATCAAAGTTCATTAAGATTATTTAACAGTGATTCTAATGGACAGATTTAAATTTTGTTCTCCTAAATGCTAATTTTCCTAATAATCTTTATTATCATATAGGAATTCGAATTTAAAAAGTTAAATTTGTTTTTAAGTTCTTCATCTCTCTGTGTTTTAAGACAACTTGCTTACTGCCCAACAAGCTCTCATAACTGAGCTGTATCGTTTGTCTAGACTCGATGCAAGCTAAGACACATTGTCACTAAGAACTTTAGCGTTTTATGGTTTTATGTCTGTCTATTCTTACATCACATTTTCTCCAAAAATTTACTCTGACAGAGAACTGGATTTGCTTATGGGAAATAATCTAATAGTTATGGGCATACAATACTGCAAAATCAACAATGGCTCCACTTTATTTTCAGATTATAGTGTCCTATGGTAAAATATAAATACTATCTTTAATTTTATGTTAGCAAATGTTTACATACAACGGATTGCTATTAACTCTCAACCTGCAAGGGATTACTCAGACCATCACCAGCCTCCTGGGTATTAGCTGTATGTCTGAGAGCAAGGACTGGGTGGAAAGAGAGAGGAGGGTTCAATATGTAGGAGGGAGAGGGGCTTATGGCAGTCAAAGGAAAATTATTTATATGAACTACTTTCATACTCTCCCTTTTAACTTTGAGCGTAAAATGGAGTCAATTTACAACTATCAGCTAAATAAACCTATAGATAATGTGTATATCATAAAAATTGTGAAGATGACTCATGAATGATTAAAATTTTTTAAACCTAGGCATGGATTAATTTAACTGTTGCCTGAGAGAGCTGCTCTAAGGGCATAAACCAGGGGTGGGGAATCTTTTTCTGCCAAGGGCCATTTGGATATTTATAACATCATTCTCAAGCTATACAAAATTATCAATTTAAAAATTAGCCTGCTGTATTTGGTCAAACACTTAATTAACTCACCCCTAATGCCTTGGCAGGGCCAGACCAAATGATTTCGCGTGCCTTATACAGCCCACGGGCCAGAGGTTTCCCACCCTGGCATGTTTAAAATTTTTAAATTACTTAAAAGTCATAGGCCTTAGCTACGTTTTCTTTTATGCCACAAAATAAATTTCCTATTAGATAAAAGGTTATCCTATATTACCAGAAATGGCATTGTGAGAAAGTGCTTACAATCAAGGTGAAATTAAGATTTAAATTTATATTCTTCAGTGAATATGCATAGGAAAAGCCTTGAAAAACACAGTATACAGTACTATCAGTAATTATTTCTGGGTAGGTAGAATTATTATATTTTTTACTCATTGCTTGTTTTTTTTAAATAAAGAACCGCCTGGTGAATAAGACAAAGAATTTAAGAAACTATCTGTTTCATTCAGGTTTATACACACTTACCTGTCCAACTAAGTCCCAGGTGATCGGCTACTATTGCCATCCTGATATCTGTCCTGAATAAGACAAAGAATTTAAGAAACTATCTGTTTCATTCAGGTTTATACACACTTACCTGTCCAACTAAGTCCCAGGTGATCGGCTACTATTGCCATCCTGATATCTGTCCGTTCACATGGACTCTGTGGACCTACGATTTACAATTTCTTAATTAAAATAATCATCAAGAAAAACAGGATACTGGAAAATTGCTTTGAGCAGTACTCAGATTTTACAGAGAGACTAATGCTAACACTGTACACTTAAATGTGTCCTAATCACCTACATGAACACCTCTTTTCACAGGACTCACTTGGTTTTCACCTGCATCAGGCCAAATGTCAGACTACATGGATGCTCAATGTAATGGAATTGAACATGCTGACAGGCTAGCTACTTTACAACAGTTACAGAAGTGTTGTGTTTGTGAAAACACCATGATGGGGTTTCAACTTCTGTGCTTTTACTTTCACAGAATCATATCCGTTAGCACATTAAAAAAAAAATTTGCTCATCATGAATGACACCAATATCTTCAGCATGCTTCCCTAGCTGTCTATGGTGTAGTTTGGTTAGAAGGAAGAAAGAGGAGTATATATAAACAGCACATACAGATGACAATGACAGAATGAGAAACTACGGTTAAGTCACTCCACAGGCAATCACAACAGTTCATGCACTAGGGTCTACGAGTTGGAAAGTGTTTACAAACTAGGCTCGTTCTCCAGGATGTGAGCAAAGAGTGCTCGAGAAACCTGACTGCCTTCATTCTCACCAGTCCTCCTACTGCTCCTTTTCTCACTGCCGGCCTTTTCACTCTTTGATTTTAAAGGTGCTGCCTCTGTTTTCTTATCTCTAGCAGACTTCGTTGTAACTGAAGGCTGGCCACCCCGGGAACTCTCGGACAACGACGTGTTTCTTGAGGTACTGTCTTCCTCATCCGACACCTCGGACTGCATCTTTTTTTCTTCTTCAGAGAGGCGGTCCACAAGCTTTAAGGTCTCACCACTAATTCCCTTAAAATATTCAATGGAATGTTTACAAACTTCCTTAAGCTGACTTTTCCTGACTTGAACTGTGGTGGTAGCATTGGAGGTGGTGACACAGGTGGATCTTACCTTTACTGGCAACTTGGATGGCAGGTGTTTGGCCTTGTCTTTCTCTGGCTGCCCTTGCTTTTGTGGGGTGCATGCTTTTCTAACTGAAGCTGTGTTATCCCTGTGTGTGTTTTTTACTGGAATTCTGGACTTTACGTCTAGACATGAAGAAGAGGTAAGGGTTTTGGTTTTCTCAGATGGACTAACCTGCTTCATTTTACTCCCTTTCATGTTTGGCATATGATTTGGTGGGAAGGTATCTTTTGCTGAAGTGGCCTTTATGGGAAGTTTGGATTTGCGCCTAATCCCTACCGGTGCCTGTGTCTTTTGCTGCTCTCCAAGCACTTTCTGCTTCTCTCTCACACAGTGTCCCTGTGGCACCCCTGTCTTTTTTCCTGATGAGCTTTTCACTGGATTAGCTTTCTCTGTGGTACGAGTGGGTGCGGCGTGTTCTGTCAGAACTACGTTACTTGTAATGTTATCTGTCTGTATAGTGGAAGAATCCAAATTGTTGTTGTTATTAAAGTTATCTTTTTGAAAATCGTGTTTTTCTTGGGGCCTAGCACCCATGTGGCTATCGGCTGAATTTGAAACCACTGTTATAGTTTCATTTTCTAATCCCTGACAACTGGTCATCACAGCTTCTATCTTATCTGTGACTTCTCCAGGGGCTTCTTTCTTCATGGTCATGGTGGACGCAGAAATCCCCATTTTTATAGGCGTGCGCAACTTGGGGTCAACTTTCAAGGTGTTAGTGGCTGCTGCTGACTTCTCCAGGGAGGCACTACTGGGTGTGCCTTCCTGACACTCTCCGCTGGTCGGGATGCTGGGTTTAGGTTCGACCGCAGGTGCCTCTACATTTCTCTCTAGATTGGTTTCTACAGTGGTGTCCCCTGACTGTGGCTGTGGTGTGGCAGTGACCATACTTTTATCCCCTTCCCCCTGGTCCCCTGACTTCCCTTCAGAAGTATGCTCACCAATCTGGAAAAATTGGAGCCTCTCTTCAACAAAATCCCTCTTGCTCATGTCAATTGCACCACTGCGAGTCATCTCAAACATTTTTCCTTCATGAAATGGGAAGGGGTTAGGCTCACTAGTTGGGGTACTTTCATCGGTTGGCGTTCTGGCTGGCGTTGTATCAGGGGTTGTTGCCGGAGAGCGGTCTTCCACAGCCAGACCAAATGGCTTAGTTTCATCTTCCCGGGATTTACTGTCAAAAACTTCATCATCCCCTCGGTTATTAGACCAAGGGTCAAAATCTAGACCTTTGGTAGCTACTGTTTTAAAAGGAGTGGCAAATTCTTCATCTACTTTGTAACTGAAATAAGTATCAGGAAACACTGATCTGTCAGGATGTCTGCCTTCTAGGGTGAAAAACTGGGCCCCTGACTTCTGATCAGTCTTATCAGGAGTCTTTTCCGACGAAGAGCTTTTGGAAGATGGCTTATCTTCATCTGGTCCCACCCTTCCCTCCTCCTCGATGACTTCAAGTTTACTTTGGCTAAAGGAGCGATCAGCTGGCTTCAGAATGCCCTCTGTGTTCCAGATGTCTTTCTTAATTTCCATGGTCTGACTTGGGAGTTTGGAATCACTCTCCGTCAAGCCATCATCTTCATCTTGCAGGTCATAGCCATCAAGAGAGTCAATCTCTGTGGCATCTGTATCATGAGAAAACTCGGCCGTGGTAGCAATGGAACACTCTGTGATGGACTGGTCGTTGTTCCCATTCTGGGCGGTTTCATTCTGAGGCGAATCAAGGCCAAATTCATGATCTTTTCCAGATCCATTAGTTTCTAATTCTTTCTGGTTGGAAGCCTTTTCAGCAGAAGCTTTGGGTTTTGTCATTTCTTTTTGATCACTGTCTGCTTCCTTTAATTTGAAGGTGTATTTTTTAACTGGAACTGGTTGATAAAGTGATTCATCATCGCTCGAATCACTGACGTCTGCCCCAGGAGGAACTGGGGAGGGTGGCTGCACTCGGATGACTGGCTCAGCCAGCTGGTACTTGTCATGCTCATCTTGCAGACTGACTTCAATCATGCCAGCCTCTCTTTCAGGCAGAGAAAGATCCTTCTCCGACTCCATCTGGTCTGCATCCAGCGGCGGAGGAGGGGGAAACTCGATATAGGCAACTCTGTTGGTTTTGGGTCTTTGGTTAGAGTCTTTGCTCACACTGCCAGGCAATTGGTGCGCGCCTATTATCTCCTCCACTGTAGTCTGCTTTAAGGAGGACGACTTGCCCTGCTCCTCCTCCTCCGATTCCTCAGAAACCTCGGGAATTGGGCTGGGTTTACCTGGTATATAAGCTATGAGTGAGTCTGGTGTCTTAGACGTAAATTCATAACTCACTTCCTCTGAACTGGGTGTTTCTGGGGTTAAAGGGCTTTTCCCAGAGCTGTCTAGAAAGGAAACTTGCTCTAGAGTATCATCTTCCGGACTACCTTGGGGAGAAGGAGGCTGCTTTTGCTGTCTGGTTGTATAAAAGGTCCCCCTGGTCTCTTGTACTGTCTTACATTCCTGACTGATGATTTTTTTCACACTTCCTTGTTGTATCTCCTTTTCATACTGCTTCCCCACCTGTACAAAACTGACATAAACAGGTAAAGTTTTTATCTCTTTCCCTCCCTCTGGCGGGGCTAGTGGTGCAACTTTTTCCAATCCATCAATGGGACTGTGGTCGAATACTTCGCTAGAGGGAGATTCTTTCCCTGGGCTAAAGTCTAAAGAATCAGGAGATTTGGTGGGGGAGCTTTCAGTTTCATCGAGAGAGGGGCATAAGCCTACATAACTCTGATGTTTGGAAACTTTGCTGATTTCTGAATAGGTAACTTTTTCATCTTCTAGAGAATTAAAGTGCTGTGTCTCCACTGTCTCTTTGTGACTTGACTGGGGTGACTTTTGTGATAGTTCATGCTTTGGAAATGGCGACTGCTCACAAAAACCAACGGGAACATTAGAAGACGGCATTCTCCGCTCATCGGCCATCCTGACTGGGATGTGCGACACCGCCGAGCTCTCACTTCTCCTGGAAGGTTGATCGAGAGCCCCGCCAGGACGGTCCCCTTCTTTCACAACATATTCCCTGTACAAGACCTTTTTGGAGGGAGATTTTACAGTCATTTCCTTAACTTCTGAGAGAGAGCCATTTGTTAACAATTTGTGTTCTCTCTCAGTCACAGACACAAATTCACTCCTGGGATCAACAATTTTACTCTCAGGGTGACCAATGTGATTCTCTCTTACATCATGAACAAGTACATGCGAAAGCTTTTCTTTCTGCGACTTATTGTTAGCGGCTCCAGAACTTTCCCACGTTCTAAAGACCTTTTTGTCCCAGGGTCCCTTAGTTGCTAAATCTGAGGTTACATGACATGTCAAGTCTTTAGCCTGTTGCTCAGAAAAGTAGTCAGGCATCACTTTACTTGACATTTCAGTTCTCTGTTTTTTCACATCATCAGAGCCAGAATCATTTACAACAATTTCACTGCTTTGCTCGGGCTCATCTTTAGCTTTTAATACCATAAAATCTTTTTGGACAGGTACTCTTTCATCTGAGAGGTCTATGGCCTTCTGCTGTTTTTCTCTAGCAAAAAGTTGGTAGACGGGTAGCTTGCTCTCCTGCATTTTTTTAACTGGGATTCTGGATTGGCCATCTGGCTTCTTGTCCTCTTGAGTCACGTCCTTACTTCTGGCCTGTGCACCTTGTTCAAATTTTAATCTAATGGAGCTCAGTTTAGATTGTTTGAGCTGAAACCCAGACTGGGGCCCTTCTGGTGCTTTGCTCTGTGGCACGCTTCCTTGGGCTTCCTCCGTGGACTTGCTGTCCTCAGTCTGTTGGGACAGAACCTTCTTCTCCGGGCTGCTGGGCAGACTGGATGCTTTCCTCTCACTGGCTCTGGGGAGGCTTTGTCCATCACGGGCATGCTGCCTCGCCTTAACCCACTCATCGCTGGATGCCAACAGTTCTGTCAGCGTTACTTTCTCGGGGCTGCTACTGGTAGAGCTTTGAGAAGAGTATTCCTTGCCATTTCTGGGGCGTGCCTTTTTCTCTGGGGACTGCAGTTCATCATTGAGCTTTTCGGTTTTGTCACGAAAAAACTGTGACACTTCAGTCAGTTTTTCTTCAGCTTCCTTCACAGTCCTGTCCACCCTATCTTCATACATCAACTTCTCTCTACCTCTGTCTAATCTGTCCTCAGTAAAGCGCATCCACATGGCATGTTTTGGACTACTACCATCGCCAGAATAGTGCAACACTGTCACTTTATCAAAATGCTCATCTTTAGACACTTTACCTACACCATTTTCAGACACATCTTTATAGATTTTGGAGAGAATTTCTTTTTTGGGGGCAGTGACTACTTTTTCTCTGGACCGCTTATCAGACCCCTGTAACTCTGAGCTAGAGGGTCCTGCATGGTCTGTCACCGATTCCTCAGTATCGGAATGAGACACATCTAGCTTTTCTGACAGAAGCATTTTCTCAGCAAACCTGTAAGACTCCCCTCTTAGTTCTGACAACTCATCGTCATGGTATTCTATTGAGTGTTGACTCAAAAGCTTCAATGTTTTATAAGAGTCATCAGATATGAGTTGAGCAGAACTAGGGCGACTATCTTCTTCTTGGGACACAGGAGTGTTTACTCTGGAAGACTCCAGATAAGAAGGCAAGGACTCTTCTGCAGTGAGTTCTTCCTCTTCTTGCTGACCCTGTTCCTCTGAACAAGGAAAAGCATCGTGTTTTTCTGGCAGAAAATCTTTTAGGTTAACATCTCCCCGGGATAAGTCTTTCTGATACACATACATTTCCTTTTCTGGATGCTTTTTGGTTTCTCTAATAATGACTTCAGTAGGCTCAGCTTGGTTACCTTTTTCGATGTGGACTTCTATTATACGCTCCAGTTTGGGTTTCATTTGGTTGTCCTTCTCTGCGTGCTGGGCTGAGGTTTCAGCAGCAGACTTGTGAACATCTGGGGCCACTGCCGACTTATGTTCAAACAGACCTGCCAGTTCTTTGGAAGGGTCCCGCCCGGACTGAAAGGCCTTCATGATGTCATGGACCGACATGGTTTCTTCAATTCTTTCAGAGGTGCCTTCGCTGCCTGGTGGAGAATGATAAACCGTCCTGGTGGTAGTGGTTATGTGTGTCTCTTCTTTGACACGCATGCCTTTGCTCAAAGCTCGACTGTGGTCATCTTCATCACTACTGGCTTTCATTTGAAACGCTTTAACTTTTTCTTTAATACTGGAAGTGCTGGGCTTGGGTTCTAATTCCATAAACGTGGGTGACGGTTTGGGTGACGCGGGTTCCTCTGGTTGGGACTGGGAAGCCTCTCCGGCCGAGGGCTCATAGCTCCTGATAACATGAACCACTTCGGTTCTCGTTTCTGTGATGACAGGAGGGATGGGGACTTCGTGAAAAAGCGGCTTGGGACCAGTGCTTTCAGCGCTCTGTGGGGCTGAAGGTGTTTTTTCACTTCTCGTTTCAAAGCCACTGTCAGACAAGGGACTTTTATCTTGGTCGTGCTGAGAAAAGTCATCTGGAGACTCTAAAATAGCATCTGTTCCAAAAAAGGAATCGGCCATTTTACACAATTCCTTCTCGGAAGTGGAAGGCCTCATGGAGGCGGGAGGCATTTTGAGTTTGTGTTCCTGCAAAGCAATTGCTGGTTTTAAAATTCTTTTCTGTCTCTCTTCACCATCTTTCTTTGCATCCTCAAACTTGTACTTTAAGTTTGTCAGTGAACTACTCCCAATATCATTCGCTAGGTAATCAATCACCTTGGTCAAGCTGTAATCCTTATCGGAGGCAGCTTTCGCTTTGACTTGCACTCGCTCGGGCAGAGTGGGAGAACGGCTCGCAGCAGCTTGCTGTCTCGCTTCTCTTATTTCTTCGGAACTGAATTCTATCCAGTCGTCTTCGGGAGAGTGTCCTTTGTCACTCTTTGGTGATTTGGGTGGTCCTTTATTATCGACACAAACATCTTTTTTAAGGATTTCGCTAACTTTCACTAAGTCTTCCTTTACTTTCTCAACAATTTTGAAAGGTTCTTCGTCCTCCACTCTCCCTTCTTTGGGGAGTTCATGCTGGAATGGCTTCTCCTCAGGCACATCTGTTTGTAGTATTGCTGTCATCCGCATGAGGTCCTCTTTCATTTCAGCCACGTCTTTTAATATCTCCTGACTGGAAGATAAAGAAGATGGTGCAGACAACTTAAGGGCAGAGGGTGCAAGGAACAAAGATGACTTGACTGGGGATGAAGTTCGATTGAAATGGGGCTGAGGACGTGTCTCCGTAGTCAATGTTTTAATGGGGGACAGCAAGGCTGCTGCTGATTTTGCAAGTGAATTAGAGTCTGGGAGTTTCTTTAATGCTGGTTCTGGCAAAACATTGACTACAGAGTATACTGGCACTGTTATTACCGATGAAGTTACAGATGAGGTAGTTGAAGATATTGACGACCCAAGGGATGCATAGAGTGCACTTGCGGAAGGAGTTCTGAGAGACTGAAAAGCTGATGGTGCTGAAGAAACATATGACCTGAGTGGGGAAAATGGCATTGCTGTCGTAGAAAACACTTTCTCAACTGTTTCTGTGGCGGCATTAACCACAGCGCTTACAGAGTTTGTAGCTGTAGAAATTTTTTCCTGTAACGTGGCAGTGGCTTTGCATCCATTAATTAAAGTTGAAGATGATGGATATTTCAGAGGGGAAATAGATCCATTGACTAATGCTACCTCTGCATGTCCAGGCATCTGCTTCACAGGCGATGAGAGAGAAGAGGCCATCGTAACTTTCGCCGATGAAATGATATCAACTGCTGATTTAGCTGGAGACACCACTGACTTTAAAGGTGAAGATATTAGCGGCGCTGCTGATGTAATGATTGACTTAAATGGCAAACTTGAGGAATACATATTAATGTTTGACTTGGGGGAGGCCGGGGGTGTCATAGTAATTGATGACCTCTCCAAAAGAGACCCTGCTGTAGTCACTGGAGAGGTTCGAGAGGAAAACATAGAACTGGACGGCAGCCCCTTTAAAGGCGAGGCCTCCGTGACTGTGGGCGCTCTACCCAGGGTACCAGAAGACACTTGGATATTGTATGGAGATTGTGACACCACTGTTTTTATTGGCGAAGAAATTGTCCGAAAGGATCTAATTGGAGATGCCACATCACTAATGGATTTAACTGAAGATGTAGTTGACGCGCCTAATGTGGATTTGATTGGAGAAGGAGTCGAAACGGACCAAATTGATTTTAACGGAGAAGCTGATGGCGTATTTGAGGAAGAACTTGATAAGGAAGTGAAGCCTGACTTGGCTGGCCCGGGCACTGTGATCGGAGCTGTGGTCCAGGACTGGTATGGTCTTGTAGAAAAGAATGGCTTGTATGAGTAAGAAGTGGGGAGGGATCTTGTTGCTCCTGCACTCCGTTCAACTGTTTCTTAAATTTTAAAATGAAATCAAACACAAAAATCAACAAAAATGGTTGAGAAACAGAGAGACCAGAGAAAAAAATTGGTCAGTAAACTTTGAAATATTACAAAAGCAAGTACAATTGTTTGCATGATTTAGAATGGAGGAGGCAAAAGGAACAATTAAGCAAAAGAGGGAAAAAATTTCTACAGACATAACTAATCCAAAGTAAAACACACACAAAACACTAAATAAATAAAAAACAGAGCAATGTGAAATGAAAGACAGAAAAAGCACGTCGCAACCAAATAGGCCAACAATGAAAATTAGGAAACACGAGGAAAGAATTAATGATGAAAAATAACCACAATGGAAAACTGTTCCCTTACTTCCTATTGACTTTCTTATGTGCTGGTTTTGAAATATCAGTAGCCATTCTGTTTTGCCTGTATAGGTTAATGTTTGTTTTGTGCAACCATAAAACTCTCATTTTAGTAATTTCTAATGTTTCCTCGCCTTGAACCATATCAATGTGTATAGCTATATGTTAAATATCTAAAAGTCTTTTTTTAGAAAACCACTCAAGCCTATTTCATGCAGAATCCAAAATAACTTTTAAGTGACAGGCAACTGATGTGCAAACTGTGAAGCCACTGGATTTTAAATCTGCATCTTCCATGCACAATTCGGTTACGCTTCACACCCATAAAAAGCCAATAAGAGCAAGAAATTCTCTGAGTCAGAATTTTAAAAGAAAAACAAAACAAAGAAAAGGAATGTTTGCATTTATCTTTTCCATGCAGTATATTCCTTTTGGTGAGGAAAAAAAAAGTGATATGAAATGATTTTAAGATGCATGTGTACACACACACACATAAAAGGGAGAAGAAAAAAAACCAAAATATGGTTCATGGTTACCATAAGCAAGCAAAGCAACAAAACATTTTATCATGCGCAATATATCATGGCAAACAAGCCAATGAAGTAATACAATTTTTATGCCATAGTATGCACAATTTATAAACTTTAAAAATACTTTCACAAGAGCATTGAGAAAGAAGAGTACACTTTTTCCATGAGATGTGAAGTCTTGGTACCTTTTGAGATTTTAGGAAAATATTTAATACTGCATAGTAAAAATACATCTGCAACTAAACATATCCATGTTTGGTGTTGTTGTCATTATGGATAAAAGCGCACATTTTATCTCATGTTTTTTTCATAATATGTCATACTTTTAATTCTCAAAAGGTATCATGGGGAAAATCTAAAAAAGCACATTCATATTTTTAACACCCCATATTTAACTATCTACAGTGGAATACAGTATTTTTTTGTATATGGATGTCAATGGCAAAGATCCCTTCCCGGAATATTCATGGGACTCATGGATACCCCAAACACTGGAGCAGCCATGAGGCAGACCTACCACTAGCAAAGATGGATTTACTACCAGCATTCTGCTGGCAACGGGACAAGAAACACACAAATGAGGTAAGCACACTCGCCGGGGGAGAGCAAACACACACTTAGTCCTCTCTACTTCTACAATTCTAACAAACCGAGCTGGTCACAGAGATCTGGAATGCCTGCCAAGGGTAATGTGTATGTCAGAGTGACTGCACTGGTTCAGAACAAGAGTGAACTGCGAAGAGGAAATGAGAATCTGCTTCATCTTTATGCTCCTCTTCAGGCTGTGCTCGTGCCTTTGCTGTAATCCAGTCCTTGGATTAGCAGCTACTCCCACAAGGGTGAAGGTTTTCATTCCTAGTGTACATTTAAATTCAAACATTCAGAACATATCCTTTTCTAGACTGGCATATTATTCTAAGGAAAAGTGGAAGAACTAAGGAAAAACTCACCCACTCATTACCCCTCCTAGCCATAATTCTCAATATAATATTGCTTAACTCTGTTAGAAATACCACACTACAAATGAAGGGTTTGGGGATTCCTTCAATTCAGTGATCTGGGCTCAGTCCACTGTCATGGCTCAAGAGAATTTATCTTTGTAACTACCAAAAACTGGTGAAGCATCTCTCCTTTACCACTGAAGGCTGGCTCATCAAACAAAGAAGTCTTCTGAACAACCTCTATGGTTTTATACCTCGAACAAGCAGCCAACTTACTGTTCAATTACATGTTGTGCTTTAATGACACATATTTTGTAGTTCCCTTTATAACAAAGGCAATTTCTGGATGTCAGGCACTGAATTATACCAGAATTTTTTTTTGGGGGGTGGGGGGGAATTTACAGTTAGAAAGGACAGGTAGTTAGAGAAAAGCTGCATTCACTTGGAGTTCTAACACCAATTCAGGGCCATGACTTTTCCTTAGTTTCCTTAGCTCCTTAATACTCCTTTCCATTCCTCTGTTCACCACCATTCTGCTCTCTTTCATAAAAGAGAGAAAAACATCCTTGTTCTTCTATCAAAACTCAAGGAAGATAACCTACATACACCTTAATTGACACTAACCAAAGAGTAGCAATACTTTCATAAATTGGAAAAATTCAATCGACTTAGCATATACCTGACCTTACAACTCATATTTGCCACAACCAATACCTTAGGGACCAGAATCAGATTGGCCTGCCCAGAGTACTTCTGTCCTAAAGTAGCTGGTCCATGGAGCTTAAGGCTATGGCCTGGGAGTCCCAACCAGCTACGCAGTGAGGGTCTTAGCTGGGCGGGGCGGGGAGCAAAACAGTATTCCAACAAAGACGTCCACCCAGGAGATTTAGTTAGTGAAAAAATCATCTAGTTACATACACATCTTTCCTGCATTGTAGCACAATGGGAGTTAATTTCAGAGAAGGTGGGAAAAACCAAAGTTGTGGCTCTCACTGACAAATTTTCAGTCCTCCCTAAACTCAAGTCATGTGAGTTGAGAAACAGCTAGAAATTATTCACTAATTTGGAAATTTTTTTTGTATAAATCTTTCTCTAATGTTTAAAGTGGCACCACTACATCAATCAAACACAGTGCAGTTCTCACACCCTTAGTTCCTATTGGTGGAGGGGTTATATTAAGGGCTGCAGTGATCAACACAGGTGATAACCATGTGGATGAGGGGAGGGGAGGCAAAGAGAGAGGGAGAAAATGAATATGATTGAATGAATCTATACCTTGATACTTTTAAACCAGTTAACAATGAACCAAAACAATCACTGAGAGAAGAGTCTAACCAGTCTAGTGAAGACCAGCCTTTAGAACACATTTAATAAAGGGCTGGGGAGGGAGAAAGACAGAGAAGGAGGGAAAAGAAAGTCAATAAACACAAGCTACCTCAAGAAGGTAGGAAAATACCATTCTTTCAAAGTGGGCAGAAAAAGAGGCAGGACTAAGACATAATGACCTATGTAGATAAAGAAAAATGAGATGACAACTAAAGTTACTTTCTCATCTTTTTCTACCACCCCACATACATGAAAATAAATATTTTCTCTTTTGAGCATAGATTTAAAACAGCATCGGTTCAACATGATCTCCTAGCATAGTTAACAATCAAAGTGAAACCATGGTTTTTTAAGATAGGTGATTTTAAGTAATAAAAATGGTTAATGGCTTTTAAAAACCTGTTTTGAAGCTATGACCTAGGGGTGTTTGTGCCTCATATCTTCAACTATGTACAATATATTCCTTAGATTTCATGGTGTTACTTAGATTTTCATGGTAAAGTTTTCTTGCAGGCAATTTTTCTTTTGCCATTGGGTTTTCAAATGACCCCCAAATTCTGACTGTATAGAAAAAATGTCTCTTCTTATAAAAATCTGCATAAATTAATAAATGTGTTAGAAAACTCACTCATTCCAGGCTCAGTCAAGTAGCTGTAGCGCTTACGTAAAGCTAAAGATGCAAAGCTCTGTCGTTTATCTGCTTTCTCGGCCTGAAAAGGAAAAACAAAGACTATGTCCAACATTTTTGTGACATTTCATAGTTTAGAAACATTTTGTAGGATGTTATGTTGATATCTTGTTTATCCTTATTTTTTCTTTGTATGGAATTTCCTCATTAAAATGTGATTCTAAAAACCCACTCAATGTCTCAAACAAATAGCCATCATTTAGCAAATATATGATCACCAACACAGCAGACTACAGGGAACTACAGATAAAAGACGAGAGTTACAGAGACTTCTGATGCTGAACAGTAAATTTTCCCCAATTAATTAGGCCTTAAAACACATATATCACAATGTGAGTACATTCCAGGAAAAAAGGCACACAAAGTTTCTTATTCTGATTACTGCTGTTGTTTCAGTGTGTTAACAGGCAGAAAGTATAGATGAGAAGATTAAAAACAGGTTAATGGTTTCATTAGGAATGTTACTGAGTCTTAAGGCTGCTGATTCTATAATTATGGAGGTGTGAGTTTTAAAAATCCTATTATCATCTAACTTGGAGAAATATTTGGAGATAACTTGAATAACTATATCCTTAAAAATGGCCAAGATACATTTCTTTAAGTAGAATATAAAATATTTATCAATAGCCATTGAGCACCTATTTTATATTATGTAAAACATAGGTTGATTCATATAATTAAATTTCATATATTACCCATGATCTTGATTTAAAAGTTATAACACAGTTGATACTAGGTGAAAATGTAGATTTTGATACATGCCAATTACATTTAAAAATGTTTAAAGGACTTGAGTTCAACTTTTTAAATTATTATTTGGATTATGATTTTACTGAATATACTCTTATGCATATGTGGATGAAGAATGAACTATTCTTTAAGAAAAATATATACCCTTTACTCACTTAAGCTAAAAAAAAAAATACGTTTCCCATACTTCGGCCTGCTGCAACTTCTTTTATACAGATTCAATTTCTATTCTATCTCTGATAGAGTAAAAGCAGAAGTGTTCATATTACCTCATCATCTTGATCTGACTCTGTCTCCTTTTCGTTCCAAGATGCATTGCAGAGACAAGGAATATTATAATGGACAGCAGAAAAGAATATCAGGATATGAAAAGGACTCGGTAGGAGCACAAAATGCAAGCTGATTTAGAAGGCAAAGCAAATCAAAAAAAGCCAACAAAATGTATCAAGAACAGTATATCCATGGCAAATTAATGTGTGATGCCCTTTAATCATAAAAATCTATGAACTACCAGCAGAAGCAGAAGCAATAAACAGAGGACTCCATCATACAAACCATAAGAATCTGACACCACAGTAACGAGACTTAGTCTACACAGAGACCAATAGAACTTGAGTTTCAAGAGCTTTAATCATGTTACATAGCATTCCTTAATTGCATACCAATGGCCCACTTCTTCAAGACCAGGGAAAGAAAGTGAAAATAAACCAATACCAAAAGATACCTTTTTATGTGCTGGCAGAGTGATATTTAAGTTGCAGACAGCTGTTTGAGGCAGTCCTTTTGTTGTCTTTGGTTCTTTCAGAAAAGACAGACGACCACAGGGCTCTTGGCTGGTGTCTCTAATCTAGAAGAATTTAAGAATTTATGTAGCTGACAGTTGTAGAAATAGACTTTTCTAAGGAATCCTGTCTTTATAAGAGTCAAGCATGTTTATTTTATGGAGACCTTCAAGAGGCAGGAAAATAAAGAGAAAAGATGATAACAATTACATGGCCACCGAGGTGGTCACATTTAAACTCAGCAAGATTTAGGATGTCCCATTCCAAGTCTAAACAGGATTGTTGTGTCTGGGTTCCATGCATTTTCTTCCTGTCTCATAATTTCTTTTTCTCAAATCCTCAGTCTTAGCAACACGAATAACAGCAAATAATAATGACAGTAAAATCATCGTCCTATATCCTTCTGTTCGCTGAGGAAAAAGCTTCTCCAAGAAGGTCAGAAATGAAGGTGAAGCTTGAGTTCTGACTTTCACTTTCATCCATTATTTGATTACTGAGCAATAACTAGCTATGAGGCATTTTATTATACTGGAGTGTTTGGTCTCACAAACATTTGCTTGACTATTTAGCTGTTGAAAAGGTAAGGACTTTTAAAACTAATTATAAAGCTTTCCTATCTGGAAAGTACACTCAGGTAGAACCAAGACAAAATCTGACCTTGTTCATATGACTTCAAGTTTGGTGGAATATTTCAAACAGAATAAGTGATTAGGACATTCACAGAATCGCTGCTGATGAGGACTTACCTTGATGGAAAATGGCAGTCTATTTTCTTTGAAAGCATAAAAGTTAAAAACAAGTTGCTGTCCTCCTTTGGTCAGTGGAGCCAGATTTCCATAACAATCAACATAAATAGGTTTTCCTTCCAGAACCTTTTAGAGTAAAAGAAATACACAATTTAATATTAACTTTAATTAAAAGAATTTTGAGATTTTTAAGTCACATTAACATTAACTGAATGACATGTTTCTATGTCACATTTGTTTCCTTACTGGGGCATTACTTCTATAGTCCTATTTGCCACAAAATTAACTGTTTGGGCTCACAATTCAATAATTGTGACTGGAAACTGTATTATGGACTCGTATAAGACAAAATCATATATTTCTATTCTAGCAACTTTAAACATGTTTGAGAAAGTATCTGACATCAATCACTTGTTCAGATAGACTTTGAAAACTTGTTCCAGTTTTTTTACTCTTATCTGATATCTGGGTTTGAAAAAGCAAAATCATGGTAATGTGTACAGACAGTGACCATAAAAATAAGATAATTCAAGTAGCTACAGGAAAATGGAAACCATGACTTAGATTCATTAGTGCTATTTTTTTAACCAACTAAGATAACCTTGACAACATTTAAAATAATTTGAGAATGAATCTATATTGTATTCTTAAAACAAAAACTAAAATCAATAATATACTTGATATTTATAGTGAGCACTATTATGGTCTCAAAATAAAACTTCAAAACTTCGTATCTGGGGGATATAATTGAATGAACTTGTTCTGAACAAGGTACCTCAATATCTTTGCTTCTTGCAACTTCCTCAAAATTCTCTTGCTGCTCTAAAGTTTTGTCCACTTTGTCATCTGTCATGCAGAAACACCGCAGGGAGGATTCCACAGGATCATTCATTTTGGCAAAAACAACAAACTTGGCCATATATGGAACACATATTAATTCTCTGTACAGTTGCGTGGCTAACCCCACAGTTTCTAAAACTTGATGGCAGTCTGCAAGCCAAAATCTGATAGAAACAAAGCCAAACCAAAACAGAACAAAATGTAAGTATGGAAATGAAGTGACTTAAACGCCAAATCTTAAAAAAAAAATTCACCATTAAAAAATCAGAGTATAAAGGGAACTAAATTAAAACATTGACTTGTGCATCTAAACAAACAGCAGGATGTTTGCTGCTTATCAAACAGAGAAAATGCTAAGATCCTCGTTCTCTTTCTTTCCCATAAAATTCTTGTTTCCCTCTAACACATACCCATATATGGTAAGACACTTCCTTTCTACTCCTGTTTTAAGAGTTTTTAATCTATAACTTTACAATTGGAAGGAGCATGAATTTTATGAGAGAAAACTCCTATCAGTATTTATAAATTAAAGTTGCTAAGAAATTTTACTAGAAGAATCCAGTCTAGTACCTTATAGCTTCCTACGAAAACTGGGCTAAATGACTTATCACAGTGAATTTTAAATTTCTAAGTTAGATCCAACTTAACTATCAAAACTGTAAAAAAATAACCATACTGGCATTGAGCACAACAATTTTTACTTTCCAAAAGCTAATAAAACTAATTCCTTATTGCTTTTTGGAATCCTTTATTTCCATACCTGGCTGAAACATTGGTTGTAAAAGAGACACAATCCTTTATAAACGTCAAAGGAGTAGTTCCTGTGATGTCTTCCCACTGAGCCGGTGAGGTGCCCCCTAAGAGAACAGCAGCAGATATGGCAACTTTATTAACAGACATGCTCCTTCTAATATTTGCATCATTATCCTGTTCTTCACGGTTTGCCAGTAGCTTGCAAAACTTCAACACTTTCAATGAATGACATGTACTAAAGGTTGTTTTCTTCTCGACTCTCCTTTTATCCATTTGCAGGCTATTTGCCAGTAGCTTGCAAAACTTCAACACTTTCAATTAATGACATGTACTAAAGGTTTTCTTCTCGACTCTCCTTTTATCCATTTGCAGGCTTATTGTGACTTCCTTGTAAGATATTATTCAATTTTTTAAAAATTACTTTTCTGTTTGTCCGGGTATTAATGAATGGCTTGAAATTGGGATAACCAATCTATAAGTGGATTTTACAAGTGTACTTTATAAGTGCCAAGATTTATTGTTTCAGATAGACAATCTATTATTTTTTTAATTTTTAAAAAGGCAGTAACCATCAAGAAAGTTAAGAAGCAACTTATTTGTACTAGCTGAATCATATAATTTACCAGGGACTAAGGGTGAATCAGCCATTAAAATTATTCTTAAAAACAAAACAAACAAAAAAAAACGCAGTCTATCTTAATCTTGGGATTTTCAGTTAAAAATCACATTAGGTTGATCAAATGAGGAATCGAGCTCTGGATTCCAGGTGCTTCTCATAAAACATGTACTCCCGAAGTCCTTCAGTTTCCTGCAGTCTAAAGGGTGATGCTAGGTCCACCACCTCTGCCTAGGTCACTGAGAGATCACCTAGATGCCCCAGCAGATGCAATAGTATATCAATCACCTTAAGAGGGCGCTATTGTTAATATGAAATTTAGTAGGAAAAATGTTAATTTTAAATGATATCAACATCTTAAAGAAATTATTGGAGGGATAATAGAAATGAGGTGATGGACAAGTAAAATGTTTTATTCTTTTTTTTTCTCTTATAATGTTGGCATGGGCATTTCAAAGGCTTTGTTTTCTTACAGAATCACTGCAAATGCTAGCATCAACAGCAGGTACAGCAACAACATAACCAAACCTGTAATGCTACAGAGAAGACGCAGATTGGGTGTGGCGTCCCCCTTGTACCCGTTGGATACGCCTTCTCCCGAGGGCGGGGGCACCGGAATGGTCATTGTGATCGGTTTATGGAATTTCCTTCTTCTTGGTTCCACAGTGACAATTGGGCTAAATGTTGCTTTGTTTCCAAGGATCTTTTTCACAATTTCATCTGGAACAGGCTGAGCCTAGAGTCAAAAAAAGAACCTTAAGTGAAAGTGGCCATTTTTTTTTAATCTCATTGGAAAGTTGACTTTTTAAGTGAAGAGGAAATAACCAAAAACACACAACCAATAAATGTCTTTTTCTTCATGCATTCACATTATTTCAAGAAGGCGTAAAACAACAACAAACAAACAAAACAAACCCCAAATAACCCAACACTGTAGCAGGAACACGTCAGCCCAAATGTTGCCCCAACGTAACAGACAGCGTGGGCTTGTGTGACAGAGAGGGAATCCAGTCTCACAGCAGAGAAGCATCCTAGCCTAATCTAAACTAACAGACAACAAATACCGTGTCTAATATATTTAAAAACCTATGTGGGACATTCAGTAAAACATGACAAAAGCAACTTGCACCCATGTAAAAATTGAGGTTTTTCAGAGTGGTAACAAAAAGGAAAAAAATCATGATTGCAAAGGATTTCAGATCTATTCTTCCAAACTGAAATTCTTCCTTTTGGTCTCTTTGCTACTGAATATTTATATGGGAGAGAGCTGAAGGGCACTTCATGCCAGTGAAATGGAAGGTGGTCTCTTTAGCTAGGTGTTTACTGAAGGCCTTCCCAGGACTTAGAGTGCTCAGCTCTAAAAACCCAACTCCTTGGGCATGAGAGGCAACTGTCAGTTAAATATTTTAAATACTCTATTAATTAACAACACAAATTAAGTTATTTCAGGCTATTTTCCTTAGTAAGAAAAAAAAAATACCGGTTAAGTACTGGTTCGGCCTAACTGAAATGTATAAATACATGAAAGACCTCCGTTGCCAAAATTTCCAGTCAGCTTTCCAAACCCAAACGAGTTCCAACTGGTTTGGATAAAGCCCTGCATTTACGATTTTACTTAAACCAAAATTTGAAAGCTTGCAAGTTTCACTACTGCTGGTTTTTATGATGTGGCATGTCATAAACCAAGTCAAATATGGGTTGTTTCTTTAATGGTCCATGTACCCTTTGGTGCTTCTGTTGCTCCACATACTGAGACCAATAACCTATGGTTAAAAAAAAGCGACCTCTCATCAGAAACCAGGTGATACTTTTATATGGGAAAACCCTAAAATATGTAACTTATTTCATAAGCCACTAAGCTAATTTTTAATTAATGTTTTTCATTTGAAATGGGTTAATGATTCTCCCAAATGGCCTCATGCTTTCATCAGCAATATGAGAGGGAATCCACTGAGAGTTATGACAGTTGTTCCCAGAGTGGCACATGCTCCCCACCCTCTGTATCAGTGGTTCTCAACCTTCTGACCCTTTAAATACAGTTCCTCATGTTGTGACCCAACCATAAAATTATTTTCGTGGCTACTTCATAACTGTAATGTTGCTACTGTTATGAATCGTAATGTAAATATCTGATCTGCAGGATGGTCTTAGGCGACCCACAGGTTGAGAACCGCTGCTCTGTATGATCCCAGGAGGAGAACCTTGTGTGAACGTTACCTGGAGGCCCACTCGGATTCTTTTGGTCAAAGCGCCCTCAGGGAAAGAAGCCTGGACCAGGGGCACAGTGGTGCTGCTCAGAATTCCACCTTCAGGACCAATCTGGTTGCTTTCCTGCTTAATCCGTGAAACTACTGCAAAATACTGGGGGAAATCCTTCGTGATAATCCTGCAGATTCGCTTTTTCCCTAACTCTTCTGGACTATCAAGTTCTGAAAAGACGAATGAAGAAAGCCATGAGAATAAGCCTGCTTCCACAAGAAAGACAAATGAATGAAGAAAGCCATGAGAATAAGCCTGCTTCCACAATACCTTGAGGCAAATGGATGTCCAATTTTGATAGTTAAAATTACTTATATTCAGTAATCTAAATAGAGGGTTTTTTTTTTTTTAATATATATTTTTATTGCTTAAATCGGATATGCAATTTTGATCGTTAAAATTACTTATATTCAGTAATCTAAATAGAGGGGTTTTTTTAATGATAAAGAGAAAACTACAGTTATCCTGAAATTATAACAAGCTTTGCAAAACTATTATAAAAATATTCACATACAGTACTTGAAAAGAAGAAGAACAAAATCTTCAAAAATGGGCATTTTACCATATTCGGACAAACTTCTACTCTTCAAAAAGGGACAGTTGATTCTGTGATTATTTATACATAATCTTCCCCTCAAGTTGCCAAAAGTAAGAATGAGTCAGAAAAAGTAAGGCCCCATAAGAAAGTGAATAAGGACGTAAGTATGTCTGAAAGGCTCTAGAATTTTGTTTGAAAAACTCTTGAAAATATTTTTAAATTACCCAAATGATTAGTAACATCACCACCAATGGTCCTCCCACATCAAACTCAACCAGTCACACATGAACACATCTTTTTCCTTCCTGTCCACCTCCAACCCTCCTCCTTCCCCTATAGTCCTAACTCCCGGAAAGGGTTTACTGTTTGTTCAGTCCTCTAGTTTAATAGCTTTGACTCACTTTCCTCTGTACTTTACATGTAAAGGTCAAAGTCCAGTTGGTTCTTCATGTTTCAGAAATGGCTTCCTATCCTGTCACCCCCATGTTCAGGCTTTTGCCTAATTACTGAGACCACCTCCTAGCCACCTTCCTGCCGCTTGTATCTCCTTACTCCAGTCCATTCCACCCAGCCACAGGCATGTTCTTTCAAAAGTCAGTACATGAGGTGGACATATATGTTGTAATATGTACTTCTCTCTCCAAGGCGTATTACAGTCACAAAAAGTATAAAAAGTGACTAATCACATCTTTACACGTCAATGTATACATTCATATAATATATGTAAAAATTAGGGAAGGGGAAAAAAGAGGAATATTATAATATTATAATGAATGTATAGACATGCAATATTACTTGGGTAATTATTCTAACATGCTAGTGTTAATATAACAATATAATATATACAAACAACAGACTATTAATGTTTTAAAGTAAATTCAGCGCAAGTACATTTTTTTCTCTATTTCTTGCTTTAAAAAAGGAAAGTGAAACACAATAGTGAAATGACCTTAGCTGAAAGTTTGAAATCAGGTAACTAAAGACCCAGCTGGCTAACAGTTGCCAAGAGGGAATGAAAAGGCTCTGACACTCAGTTAAATTACATTAAATTAGATGATGTTTGATATTGAGGCCTGGCACATAGTAAGTGTTCAATTCATATCCACTGAACAGAGGCATCAATTGGGAATTAATGAGACTCACACTTTTCATACCAAACATCTGGAATAATTCTTTAAAATATTGCTCTAAAATAGATGTAGTAGTGGAGACTGGTTGTTATTTTAATAGTTTTTTAAAATTAAAATATCATTATGTGAAAAAGTGGCTCTAGTCTTCCTGTTTTTTAAAAACACAATAAAATCTATGTCCATGTGTTTATAACTCAGAAATTAGTTTACTTACTGGATGTTTACCCGAACGGAATTAAAAACTCACGAGAATATAAAACTTCTAAAAATTCTGTGATATAATATAAAAAGGTATACTGTGGTCCCCCGTTATCTGTGGGGGATATGTTTCATGACCCTTTTCCTATTCATACATACCTATGATAAAGTTTAATTTATAAATCAGACATAATTAGAGATTAACAATAATAACTAATAATAAAGTAGAACAATTAACAACATACTGTAATAAAACTTATGTGAATGTGGTCTCTCTCTGGTAACCAATCTGATAACCAAGACGGCTACTAAGTGACTAACGGGTGGACAGCTTGGATGCCCTGGACAAAGGGATGATTCACATTCATGGTGGGACAGGGTGAGATTTCCTCACACTACACCAGGGGTCCTCAAACTTTTTAAACAGGGGGCCAGTTCACTGTCCCTCAGACCGTTGGAGGGCTGGACTATAGTTTAAAAAAAACATATGAACAAATTCCTATGCACACTGCACATATCTTATTTTGAAGTAAAAAAACAAAACGGGAACAAATACAATATTTGTATTTGCATGTGGCCCGTGGGCCGTAGTTTGAGGACCTCTGCACTACACAGAATGGCGTGCAATTTAAAACTTATGAACTGTTTATATCTGGAATTTCCCATTTAATATTTTAGGATTGCAGTTGACTGCAGGTAGCTGACACTGCAAAGCGAAACCATGGATAAGGGGGGATTCTTATTATCAGAAAAGTTAGATTTCCAGGCAAATAGTCATAAAGTCTGATCATGTGAAAATGGAACATCAAAGTTCTTTCCATTCAGATTTTTAAATGCTCTATTACTTAGGCCAGAAGTAGGAATTACCAAGAATCTTTGCTTTGCTCCCACCCTTTACATGCAGATATACACCCTAACAATTATCTGCAGCACAAATGCGATGCCTGAATCACATTCATACCCACAGAGAAGCCAGCTCCGAGTGCAGTGTACCCCCAATAGCCAGGTCCTAAGCAACACCCGGGGTACATATTAAAAGCACAGATTCCTAGGTTTCTCTTGTGGAGATTCTGACTTGGTCGGCCAGGGGTGGAACCCAAAAATCTGCTTTTAACATTCAATCCCGGCGACTATGACTTGACTGACACATTAGGGAAGCAAGGTCTTGTAGACTCTCACCCTGCACGTCTCTTTGCAAATTCAGAACTCAAAGATTAAAAACATGACAACAAGATCCTATAAAAAATTCAAGGATGGTTCAATACGAGAAGAGCTTATAGGACAATAATAAATACCCATTACTTTTAAATGTTTTTTTAAAACATATAATAAACCACCCCAAAGCAATAGAATTAAAGGATCAAGGGGTATAAATATCCAGAGCTTCTACCTTTTATGTTGATTCATAAAGCCATAGAATATGAAAGGATCCTCCTTCCTCTTTTTCATCTGTTACTAGTAAAGTTTTCACCCCCCCCCCCCAAAAAAAAAAGATTAAAGGGAAAAGACAGAGGTGAGTTCTGAAGTACGTAGTTCTGGCTAGGAGGAAGGCTAATAAAGCATATGGTAGAGTAGGGGTCTAACTTGCAAAAGGTTTAGTGACTTGCCCAAGTTGACTTTGCTGGTCTGCTTTAGGGCTGAAAGTAGAAACTAGGTCTAGAAACAGGGTTGGGGAGAAGGCGTGAAGTCATATAGACATGTTGATAAATGGATGGATGAATAAGGGGTAGATTTGCAAAATCCCTGGTCCAAAAGGTGACATGCTTTGTTATTGGCCCACTGTATGAGCAGAAAGACTTTACTTAGTACCGTGGCACTTTCTGCCGCAAAACACATAGAAGCCAATGTTCTACAGCTTTCTTGCCTCACTGATTAATGATAAATTTCTTAAACACCTTGTAACTCATTTAGTTAGTTCCCATATTTGTAAAAGGTGGGACAGTGTTCTCTGCCACTGAGGTTTTAGAACAGAGCAGTAAGGATTATAAGATGCTTTTCACATATGGACAGTTATGGAGATCATAATACACTGAAGCATAAATGACAGAATTGAATTCATGTTCCCACTAAATGAGTTAGTCTTAAAGCTTTTGAATTATCATCAGATCAATTTTGCCTTACTCTTACATACACATGATTAAATGTCTCGATAATTTCTGGTTAGGCGTAAGTTCTACTCAGTTTGCTCCTCTAAGAATGAAATATCTGCTATGGAAGGGCAGGGGAAAAGATGAAACTTAGAAGGTTGGAATTAGAAAGGACAAGCTAACTAGTTTTGCATGTCTACAGTGTATACATCTGAATTGCTATCATTTTCATTTCATTCCATTTTTTAAAAATATTTTCAATTACAGAAAACGAAATATCAGAGAAATTGAGGGAAATGAAGGAAATAAAAGATAAATCTATAATAGTCAACTCAAGCTACAGAATATATGGAACTTGTAATAAATTCAATGAAATATTTCAGAAAATTACAGACATTTCTTTGGAATTAAAATTCAGCTCCATCTGAATAATGCAACTTTTGTACCAAGCCCACCCAAGATGTTACAGGGGAAAAAACAATAACTCAAGTTGTAATTTGATCCTTCTTCCTCAAAGTAAAGATGATAGGAATCTTTTCAATTTTTTTCAACTTTTAAAATAATTAGAGATTCATGGAAAGTTGCAAGGACAGTACAGAGAGGTCTCATACAGCACTTTCAGTAGTTTAACTCATATTCTTATTCAATTCTGGTATCTGCTTCATGTCTGTCTGGATCAGCATTACTTTGTATCTTTACCCAAGGTGGGACCTTCTTTGTTATTCATATGTGCACATGCATGAAGTGCTAATGACGCAGAATGTGTGGGAAAATGATATACTTGTTTGTTTTTCTCTCCAGTTTTAACAATCCATATAATTTCTGACAATCATATACCTTAAAATTAGAAAACTAATTGTGCCATTCCCCTGTCTCCTAGACCTCCTCTCCCTATTTGGTTGTGCATTCCTTCCTTTAAGTAGTTGCTTTTTCTCTTGGGTCTGGGACTCAGAATGAATTATCACCAAAAGTGGGTGCATACGCCTGGAGACAAATCATTTCTCCACTCATTCAACAAATTATGATGAAGTGACAACACTGTGCCAAGAGCTGTTATCTGCACTGAGCATAAAGGCTGTCCACACGTCAGAGCCAGTCCTGCCCTCATGGACTTTACCGTCCACCAAGGAAGATAGCAAAGTTCAAAACTCCTTGTTACAGAAGAAGACAGGCCGGGTGCTGTGTATTACCAGGTGGATCTAACTCAGTCTGGGCTT